CACTTGTCTTCCACAAGACACTGATGTTCCTTTATCCCCTAAGATCTTTTTTCCTCTGTCTGCCTTTCCTCTCATATTATTTCTTCCAACTTTTTGTATAAGTTAAGAGTGGGGTAGAACTAGTATGCTTTCTTTCATCTTCTGTAACAGGGAGGCTGTTATGTTTGTGCCATGTGTAAGTGATGATCACCTCCAGCAAGAGGGCACAATTTACAGATGATTTTAACAGTTCTGACTCCACATTTCTTGGAGTTTAGTGGTTTTCCTTGAAACACTACTACAGCAAATTGCCTTATTCCCATGCCTGATTTAAAAGGGCACACCTGGGGCACCTGGGTGGCTCAGTTGGTTAAGCGACTGCCTTCAGCTCAGGTCATGGTCCCAGGGTCCTGGGATCGAGCCCCGCATTGGGCTCCCTGCTCAGCAGGAAGCCTGCTTCTCTCTTTCCCACTCCCCCTGCTTGTGTTCCCTCTCTCACTGTCTCTCTCTCTGTCAAATAAATAAATAAAATCTTTAAAAAAATAAAATAAAATAAAAGGGCACACCTACAAAATCCGGGTATGTCCACATCTCTCTTCTCCTTAGCCATGGCACATGACAGAGTCACCCCTCTGTTCTGAAGTAGCTTTCACTCGGTGTCATTGCCCCCAGAATTCTGACCCTTCTTTTTGTCCTGTGATGGGCTGAGTTGATCTCAAGGGCCCTGTCCCCCACGTACCTACTCATACCTAAGCTTTTTTCTCCCTGCTCTCTCCTCCTCCTCTCTCTTGGCAGGTGACTTTGACCACCTTCTTAAACCCTTTCTGGGTATTCCAGGGATATTCCCTAGCCAGCCCACTCTGATCTGAGTTGTGCAATACAACCAGATTTTTTTCACCCTCAAAATAAGACTTGAATTTTCACAAGTCTCTGTTTCAAGACTCTGTTTTTTAAGAATTATAATTCTCAAAATTCTACATTTACCATTGAGGAATATGTTAGCCATCTCCGGGGTGAACACCTACTTCAGGTTAAAGGGCATCTCTTGTCTCTGCATTGTTAACCCTTTTGTGTACAACTCCAAGCTGAGAGGAAGAGCAGTACCTTGGGGCACTAGCAACTTAAGCAGGAAGTCCCTCTCTCCCAGGCCAGAGTAAAATGGTTTGGGCCTCCCTGACACCTCCAGAGAAACTTGGGGAAGTCTTGATGGGGATTGATCTTTAAAACATGCCAAAGACTGAAGGTGAACCAGCATTTATATATGTTCTTGTTTCAGAAAAGAGAATGGCTGCTGTTGGCCAAAGGGGAGCCCCTGAGCGGAGGACACAGCCTGAGACAGCCTGCCAACACCTTCTATGTGATTGTGCCATCACGCTCCCCCACTCTGCTGGTGAAGGCAGTGGCCACTCGGGAACTGATGCTGCCCAGCCCCTTCCCCCTGCTGCCTGAGGACCCACCTGATGACAGCCTTAAGATTGTGGAGGCACGTGGAGCTCAGATCTCATGGGACAGACAGAGGGAGAGAAGAGTTGGGAGCTGGAGAAACGGATGAGGGAGAGGAGCGAGCCTGTGGGGGAAGGGACTGGGGAGCAGAGGGAGAAGTGGTTGTGCCAAAAAGGTGGTGGAGGGTCAGTAATGTGATGTGTGTCTGTGTGATGGTGTGTTCCCACGGGTCTTCCTCTGCATTGTGTGTGTGCAGATGTGGGTACCTGTTTGTGTGCATCTGTTTTTGTTTGTTGAGGAAAAGGTAGCCAGTGTAGGCGTCCGGGATAGGAAGCGCTTCAAAATGAGACTCCCAGACAACAGAGGGAACTGCGCGCTGCGGGCCGTTTTCTCCCCCTTCTCCCGCTCCTCCCCCTCCTCCTCCTCTCTTCCTCGGATCTGGATTCTGGATTTCCTCTGCCAGCCTCCCCTGGCTGAGGGCAGAAGGAGGGGCTCTGGGCAAGGAGAACTGGAACCACATCACTGCTGGATCACTGGCTTATGTGCAGAGAGGACAGAGCCTGGGATTGTGTTCTTGCCTTGGCGGCCATGGGCATGCAGAGAGAGGTGGGCACGAGTGGTCATGGCTCACTCAATGTCTCACTTCGGGGCCAGTGGTTCCCGGCACAGGATATCGTGGCTGGAAAACCTGACTGCTCAGGAATGCTGTGCTTGTGTGTCCTCAGGCTACGCTCACCTCACAGGCCAGGCAGAGAACTCAGTGTACTCGACCAGCAGACTGTGAGCACCCCCAGGCCTCAGACACCCCCTCCCGCCGGATCCCTTGTAACCCTCACGGCACTCCAGCCCCTCTCAGAATTCCATGACACACTTCTTGGGGTCAGACTATGCCGCGTCCCTAACCACTCGAGGTTGCATCTACTTGTTATACTCTTGCCAGAACTGTACATCATCACAAGCACTCAGATCTGGGGGCCAGGACACCCAGTGGGACCCACATCTATTTCAGTCTTCAGTGAAGCGCTGGGTCTTCACACATCCTCCAGCCTCTCACACTGCAAGTTCTCTGCCTGACATCTTGTGTTCTGTGACCTCAAGTTCCCTGGGTGAGCCTCCTCTTCTCTCTTCATCAGAGCGTGCTGGACAGCCTGGAACTAGAGCCCACCTACAACCCCTTGCAGGCTTGCAGCCACCTGTACTCACACCTGAGCAGCACCTTGATCAAGCCTCAGGACCGGCTCCACCCAAGCTGTGAGAGCCGCGCCCTGAGAAAGGTACAGCTCCCTCCCTACTCCCCTTCCTCCCCATTACACCCAGAGAGAGCCCTCCTACCCTATCCTCAACTCCCCTCTCCCCGAAATCAAGGGAGTAGCCCACTGCCCAGGGTTCCGCGCCCCCCCCCCACCACCACCACCATGGAGGAGAGAACCAAGCCAACAGTGGAAGAAGAAAAAGACCAGCGTTTTGCCCTAAACAAAGGAAATTACAACCCCTGCCTGGTAGGGACGCTTTTCTGCCTGGGCACTGGGCATTTACATATGATAATGTTTAGGTATCTTAACTGTAGCACTTATGATAACTCATTAGTCATTTAACAGACCATTGTCCCACTAAGCAAACTGACAGCACCAAGACCACAACTTCTGTTTAAAGAAGAGGCTAAATGGAAGGTGGAAAAACAAATGTCCAAAGGGAAGGAAATTAGCATTTACTGAACAACAGCCATTTGCCAGGCTTTGTGACAAGTGCTTTCACATGTGTCTTTCTCATTTAATCCTCACAGCGTCCCTGCAAGGTAAGTGTTAATGCTCATTGTACAGATGAGGAAAAGGAGGCTGACCAAGGTTAGTCAACTGGAGTCAGGGCTTTAGCAATAAGAGTTAAAGAGAGAAAAGGAATTGAGGGTGGAGTTATTTTTATGAAATTCATATTCTACAATATTTCCCTTTGTCCCTATTAATCTTTTCCTAGTTTCTCAGTAACAGAACTTTAGAAACTCCTGCTTTGCCTTAGCTGAAGTTATAAAAGAAAGATCTTTCCAAACTACAGTCAATCTAGAGATGGGAGAAGAGCCCTCCACAAGTTAGTTAGCTGGTACGCAAGCTAACAGGAGGGACACTCAGCCAGGAGATGGGCGCTGTGGAGACGAGCCCAGGGGACTCCACTGCCCTGGGCCTTGAGGCTGTCACTCAAGGGATGGAACACACGAAGGAGTTAGGATAGGAGAAAACAGGGACCAGGACAGGAGATCAGGAACTGTGGTCTGGGCTTCAGAGAAGTCAGCTTGCTTTCTTTGCAGGCTGGGCAGTTACAGACAAACCGAGTTCGAGCCACAGTGGCCCCCCTGCCTATGACTCCAACCCCTGGCAGAGCCCTCCAGATGCCAGCAGCCAGCAAGTCTTCCTCAGAAGCCTTCTTCTGGCCTTCCAAGGAGGAAGTGGGGGAGGAGAAAGAGGAGGAGTATCCCTGGGGGCCCTGAGTCCCCAGCCCCAGAGCCCGGCTGCCCTGCTCAACCACATCCATACTAAGGCTCGTGCAATGAATGGCTTTCCATGGTGAGACTTGCCTTCTGTCCACTTGTGCCTCTGTGAGCTCCAGGTGACTGGGAAACGGAGTCACCTGGAGCCTTCCCCTCCTCTGTCTTCCGTGCTGCTACCGCCCCGGCCCCCCGCCACTCAGGCCCAGAAGAGACACACCTGAACTTTCTCCTTCTCCAAGCAGGAGTTCATTTTCTTTTGGATCATTTGATACCATTAACACAGATGAAGATTAAATACCTAGTAAGTCTCCACTATTGTTAAGAGCATTCCCAACCCTGAATTTCTCCTTGTAGTTCCCTATAAGCAGGTACATGAGGTCAGGTCACCTTTGGGAAACTGGACCTCAGGAGAGAAGGACAAGGTTTTCAGAGCTCATGAAAAATAAGTACATTGAAATTTAAGCCTCATTCCGAAGCCTATGCTCTTCCCACTACACCCACCACACAGCAGTTCCCTTTGACCTTCAAACAGAAAAATGGTTGGTGCTTGAGTACCTGTAGGTAAAGTGTGTGTGCGCGCGTACGCACGTGTGTGGATTTGTGTGTGTTGGGGCAGGTGGTGTCATATAGCTGAGAACAGGAGGAAAAGATGGTGTGAAAAAGACCTATTGCCTTCCTATTCTCCTCTCCCCGTGCCTGTCCACCTTTCTGTTGGCCCTCTCCATCCATGGAATAACTACCATTTATAAAATGCTTAATCTGTGCTTCAGACTGCACTAAGTACTTGAGAAACTTAACTCCTTTCACACAAACAACCCTGTGAAGTAGAATCTCTTGTTGGGTTTTCCCATTTTACAAAGGGGCATTGAGGGAAACTGAGGGTTACAGATGTTATACAACTCACCCAGCATCCCAGAGACAGGCTCAAGCCCAAGTGGGCCTGAGTGGACCACCTAGGTTCTCATCCACCACAATGCTCAACTCACCTCCCTGGGACCCCTTCCTCCTCCTGTGGCCCCCCCCATACATTCTCCTGATCCCCTCCACACCCACGCAGCACACCGTGTCCCCTCTGTGACTATTCACACACATAGACCTCTTAAACCCAAGCTGACTTTAATGAGAATAAACTTCTTAAAATCTAGGTCTCTGGCAAAGAACAATGCAGGGGTGAGGATCCAGGCACAGTCCAGCATCACCCTAGACCCTCCATGCAGGCCCCTCAAACTGCACCAACTCAAACCAAGCACCCCTTTTCATAGACCTGGTCTGGCAGCTGTCCATTCCTTTGGGGAGGATGACTTGGGGGTGCTGGTCTCTCCCAGGTCCCATCCCTCACCCCTGCCATCTGTCCCACTTCCAGGACTTCTTGAGATTGATCATCCTTCCCTTGACTCCCCTGATCCCCCCCAGGCCCCCTGGGCTGGCTTACACAGGATTCTCCAGCCCTCTGGTTCCTGCAGGTTCTAATAGATTCCTTTGATCCCGGTACCACCTCCCCGTGGTGGCCCTATCAGCAACCCCAGCCTTGCCCTACCTCTCATGTGGAGCCCTCAGACTTGACCCCGGTCCTATCAGCCCCTGCTCTAGACAGCTCACAGTCCCAGCTCCCTGAGGCACTGCTCTTCTGGACCTGGCTGTACAGGGCAGTGTCTGAGCTGTGGCCTTTGCTGCCACCACCAGTTGCAGCTCTGGGTTCACGGAAAGCCAAGCCCCGGGGCTTGGGAGCTGGAAGGGGCTTTGTGCTCCGAGGAGGTGGCACAGCATAATCATCAGTGGCAGGGTTGTAGGGGAGCTCATAGCCCTCCTCCTTCACCCGAGCCTGGCACCACCAGGCATCCTTGGGCTCCTGAGGCAGGTCGTAAAGGCCCCGGAGAGCAGCTGGGGCCAGGCCCTCAGGTTCATCATAGATGGGGTCCTCTTTGGGGTCCGTCAGCTTGGCCTTCAGCAACTGCTGCTGCACATGCTCGTACAAGCCGCAATAAAGAGGTTTCTTGAACTGTACTCCCTCCCCTGCCCGAGCAGGGGTGCTGTCCTGGGGGTCTGAATATAGGGAATCCTGGGAAGGGCCTGGAGGAATGCGCAAGGAGTCTAAGGGTTCAGCATACAGGGTGGGAGGGCTGCCCAGGAGCTCCTGAGGGCCAGGCAGGGATGCCAACTTCCCCTCTGCCACTTCTCCTTCCTGGGAATCGGCTTTGAGACTATCCTGCCCTTGACCATCCTTTCCCTGGATCTTCTGCCGGTGAATAGCAGTCTCAACCGCCTGAAAGATGTCATTCCCCTGTGCCGTCTGGAAGGTGAAGGTTCCAGGGCCTGAAGGGCAGCGGCGACCAGCCTCAAAAGAGAACATGACCTAAAGAAGGTGTGGAGGAAAACACATTACCAGGAGCCATGAAAGGAGATGAGTCCCAGGGCCTGGCCTAGTATAGAGGATCTACAAAGAAAAGACTACCTGGGGAGGGAGGTGCGGCCACGGGCTGAGCAAGGAAGGGTTATCCAGAGGACAGAGCTTCCCCTCTTCCTGTCCTGCCCCACCCCACCCACCCCACAGCTACCCTGACCCAGGAAGTCGGGGCTCCCTGACAGTCCCCCCCCCCCCCCCCCCCCCCGCCCCGCACCTTGTCCCGGCCATAGCGGCGCAACAGAGTGTAAGGCCAGAAAAGGAGTGGCTCCAGTATCTGACTCTGGGCCCCTACGGTCAGGAGAGTCAGCCTCTCAGCCTCCACCCTCAGCACATAGGAGCCATGCAGGCCACAGCGCTCAGCGGCTTCGGTCCTCTGCACTGTTAGCCAGAACTGGGATCCTGGAAGGAATACACAATTAGATTGGCAACCGGCCAGACTGCTAGGTGAGGGCGCTGGGGAGGTGGGGACAGGTTGTCCAAGCACTCACTTGGAAACTTCAGGAGCTTCCTACTTCCCCATGAGTCCCTGACCCTTTAATCACTCCCTTCCTAAGGACACCCTTCCTTTCCACCCCATCCCTGCCCAGGCTCAGGCGTCTACCTTCCCAGGTGGGGCTATACAGCGAGTTCTCCAGCATCTCCAGGGCAGAAAGCTTGGGTGGGTTCTCCGCAGACGCCAGAGCCCAGCTTCCTTTCTGGGGTAAGGAGAGAGAGTATCGAGGACCCTGCAATTCCCTCACCGCTGTTGCCAGGGTCCGAGCCGGCCCAGGCCCTCTGCTGCTGTAATCGCCCCCACCTCGCGTCGCCTCTTGGGCCCAGTGCGTTTCGCCCCAGCCCCTCGCGGGCAGCCCCGGACCGCTCACCGGAAAGGCATTTCGGCACAGTGTTTGCACCCAGGCGGCGCTGGACGTCGCGTCCGCCGCCAACAGGTGGGAGCGCTGCGCGGTGTCCAGGCGGAAAGCTGCGGCGCCAGGCTCTGGGGGGCTCTCCACAGCCACGGGGACCACGCTCACACACTCCGCCAGACGGATCACCTTGCAGTCCAAGCGGCGCGAGCCCCCTCGGCCCCCTCCGGAGCTCGACCCCTTGTGGTCAAAGAACTCGAGCCGCGCTACGCCGTGGGGACTGGCAGGATAGAGTACCGCCCAGGTCTTCCTCCACCTCTGGGAAGAGAGAGCGAGACGCTGGGGAGGGAGCGGGCGAGCGCCGGCGCAGGCCGATTTCGGGTCTGCAGCTTCCCGGCCGGGGGCGAAGTTTCCCGAGAAGCATGCAGCTCCGTCTCCCCAGGACCAGAGAGGGCGTACCCGAGGCCAGCGGACCTTCTCCGGAGTGTGCAATCAACTTCGCGGGAACGTCATAGGGTTCTTCAGCTCCCGGCCCGCGCTCCAACCCGCTGCCGCCCCCTCCCTCCCTCTGGGCTCTACAGCCCACTCCTAAGTCTGATGGGATTCCGCAACCCCTGCCCCCGACTACCTTGGTACCGAAACGCTGACTTTGCAAAAAGAGCGGCCCTTCCATCACAGCTCCGTCCATGGCCCCCGGCGCTTCCTTCCGCGCTTCCTGGCCCTGCGGGCTAGGGGCGGGACCGCGCCACCGGAGGCGGTCCCGCCCCTCCCCCGGCCTCCGCGGACGGCGAAGGAGGAGCAAGGAGAGCCGCAAAAGAAAAAGGGAGGGGGACCCCAGATAGTTGGACGGTTCACCACCTTCAGACCCCTGCCACAGCCCTGGGACGCGCACAAATGGCTCCACCAGGAGAAACCTCGAGGTTTCGGCCATAGGGGTCTGGCGCCTGGGCTTACGGGCTGTGTAGGACGTCATATGCTCAACGTGACATCAGAGTGAAGGCCGTGACGTCACCCCGAAAAATGCTAGTGGGCACCGTGGGGCACCGGAGGGGCTCTGCGGCCCTTCAACGCTTCAGGTCCCCTGACCGGACCCGCCCCTAGCCCGGCAGGGGTCTGGCTGTTTACACTCCGCGGAGCCCGGGACATGGGGGAAGGGTTGGGGGCTGGGGGCTGGGGACTGGAAGTCTTCCCGGAGCCGGGAGCTGAGCCGCGGCCTCCCGCCGCCTCAGGGGCCGCCGCCCGGGCTGGTCCGCGGCCCCGTGGCCTCTTGCGTGTCCAGCTCCCTGACCGCAGCTGCCCGGCCTCCAACCCGCGGGAAAAGAAAGCTTCATTGAGCAGGCTGGGGGAGGGTCGGCGGTGGGGGTGGGGGGAGGTGGAGCGGCCGCGGCCAGCTCCACGGGGGAGGGGAGGACCAAAAGGAGAAGAGGAGGGAACTGGCCAGGGAGGAATGGAAGGAGAAGGCGGAATGTGGGAGGGCTCAAAGGGACGTGGGAGGGACGAACGGAGAGGGGGCAGAGAGGGGGGGTCCAGTCTCCCCTGGCCGAGCACTTTTTTTGGGAAGTCCTAGGACTGATCTCCAGGACCTGGACTCTTCTCCCAGCCCCTAGAGCCCCGCTCAGCCAAAGGTAGGGGAGTCACGCTGCCGCGGGAGGAAGGGGAGTTTCGGATGGAGAGGATGGTGGTGGGACCACGGAAAAGGGGTGATGCAGGATGGGGTCGAGGGGAACCAACCAACAGAGGGTTTTGTCATTGTTTAAAAAAAGAGAGAGAGACACAAGAAGAGTGGAGTGAGGAGGCAGATATTTGGCGGGTGGGGGGTCTGCAGGGTGTTCCAAATAGGGCAGCGGCCAGGGCCCTAAGCCTGGAGGCTCCTCTGTGAGGCCCTACCCCTGGGCCCCCAAGCCAAAATGTCCCCAGAACAAAGCTGTCCTGTTGTGTTGTTTGTCTGAGTTGGGGAAAGCATGTTTGGGGGGCCCGTTGCTGGAGAGGGGCTGTTCTCAGTCCCAGACAGAGGGAAGGCCTTGGCTGAGGAGCTGATTGGCGCCCTGGCCTCCGGTTGCCCAGTGACAGCGATGGCAGTGTTGGCAGGAGGTTTGGACAACCCCACCCCATTCCCCCTCCCAGCTTGAGGCCTGGCCCTCCTGGGCCCCTTGACCCTGCAGGGCATGTGAGAGCCTGTGTGCTGGGTAGGGTGTGCACGGGGTTCTCCGTGCATCCTGGTCTCTGCCGGCGCCGCCGTGGAATCTGCCCAGACAGGATTCTGGGCTTGGCTCCCAATCAGAGAACCTAAGATCTGAGGGGCTCCTAAGCCCCCTGGCCTGCTTCTCTCTACAATCAGTAGCTGTCTGTCCTCTGTCTGACTGGCTGAATGGAATCATCTAGGCTCCTGCCGCCACCCCTCCTTGGCTCCTGCCAGGCCCTCGCCCCACCTGTTGCCTGCGTCTCTCCATTGCTCTGTGCGCTGGCTTTCTCACGGTCCCCTTCTATCCGTCTTCCACCTTGTCTCTCTCTGCTGTCTCTTTGTTTGCTTTGTTGCTTCCCTTTCGTTCCCACAGTTTCCCTTCCTCTCACATCCTGTCTGGGTCTCCCTCTGGCTCAGTCTCTATCTCTTTCTCTCAACCATTCTCTGCCTCTTGGTCTCTAATCACGGTCTTTTGATCTTTGGGTCTCTTAGAGCAGTGGGTGGGGATAATGGAGGTGATGATGACAGAGCTAGGAAAGGTCCTTGTGAGGCAGAACAGCTGATGGTGAGGAAGAGCCTCTCTATCTCTGTGTCTCTGTCTCTCTCTCCCTCTCTCTCCCCCCTCCCTAGTCTGCACCTCTCGGGCTCTGTTTCTGCTCTTATTGAGTTTGTGTTTCTTTCTCACTTAGTCCCTGGGTCTCTGGCTTTCTCTCACACGGTCTCTTGTCTCTGTCCTTTTCGGGGTTCTCTTCCTCTCCTGACCTCTCTCTGCGACCCAGGCCCGGCTTGGTCTCGCTTTCTCTCACACACTCTCTCTCTGGGGCCCCCAGGCCTTCCCTGCCATGCGACATGTCAGAACCTGCCCGTGGAGCCCATGGGGGCTGCTGCTGTCCCTGCTGTGCAGCTCCTGCCTGGGGTTTCCATCCCCGGCCACGGCCCCCGAGGACAGGGCTGGCAGCCAGGGGCTGCGGTTCCGGCTGGCCGGCTTCCCCAGGAAGCCCTTCGAGGGCCGCGTGGAGATCCAGCGAGCTGGCGAGTGGGGCACCATCTGCGATGACGACTTCACCCTTCAGGCTGCCCACGTCCTCTGCCGGGAGCTGGGCTTCACAGAGGCCACGGGCTGGACCCACAGTGCCAAATACGGCCCTGGAACAGGTGAGCAGTGCTCCATGCGTGGCCTAGGTATTGCCTTAAGGCAGGGAGAGGGAACACGAGGCCAGGCGCAGGCAGCCAGGACATCAGAAACAACCAGTGTCAAGTAGAGCCATGGTTGACAGTCAGTTCTCAGGCCTGCATGACCTTAGGCTGGTCAGTGCCTTCTCTGAACTTCAGATGCCCTATGTGCAAAATGACTAGGCGATCTCTAAGTGCCTTTCTTCGGCAAACGCGTGATTCCACAAAGACACATGCAAGGACAGCCCTGATACAGGTGAGCCCTGTCCGAGTAAAGCACAGCTAGTTTGATGGAAAGCTGAGAGCAGATAAATGATGTCTGGATGTCCCCAACCAGAAGGGATCACAGATACCGCAGCTGACAAAATCGGATTATAGGCAAGAGCTGAAACCAACAAGCTGGAACTAAGTTTTCTTAGAACTAAGCTTTCTGACTAAGCTTTCTTGGAACTAACAAGTATAAACTCTTAGGACAAGAATGAATGTGGGTAGTAGGGGCTTAGGAGGAATTCTGAGACCTGAAAGTGCTTACGTTGTATGAGCCCACAGAAGGATTGACGGACAGAAGCCAGTTGCAGTCTGCAGCGCATCCCCCACTCCCCACTGGCTGGACCACTTCTGGAATAAAGTGTCCCTTGTAGGTGCCACATTTAAGAGAGACAGTAGAAAATGGAAATGCTTTCAGAGGAGAGCTGCCCAGATGTGAAAGACTGGAAGCCAAGTTTCAAGAGGGAATAGCTGAAGAAACCAGGGGTGTTTGGTATGAAAAGAAAAAGCTTTGGATAGCGTTTACCTGAAGGTTGTCTTCAAATATGAGGACAGTCATTTGGCTGAGGGAGTTTTCTGGATGGCAGCAAAGGACTGAATCAGACCTGGTGGGGCAAAGTCATAGTCATGAGGACTTCTGTGATGGTTCCAGTGGCCTGGTGGGGCAGGAAGTAGGCATCCCAGCAGAAGCTGGGTAAGTCCTGTCAGGAGGTGCATGATGGGTCCCTGCCATTGGCTGGGACAGACAAGGCACATTGGGTGGAATCCCATGTGGATTGCGTCCATCCAACTCTGAGAAGTCAGATATTCATTTCAGTGTGGTCCAGGGAGCAATGTGGCAGCACAGACAGGGCAGGCCCATGGGAGAAAGCGAGGCTGAGGTGAAAAGATCTTAGATTTCCAAGTCTCACAAATGGCTTAAACCCCTAAATCCCCGTGTATTGGCTGTGTGGTCTTAGGCAAGTTACTTAACTTCTCTGAACCCCAATTTCTTTATGTAAAATGGTGGCAGATCTAAGAGTAATCATGTATATGTATACATAGCAGAGTGCCTAACACACAACAGGTACTCGATAAATTGTAGCTCTCACTGAATAGGTCAGGACTGATCAGAAATTCAGTGTTGACTCTTGATTGTTTATTCACCGTACCAACTTCTTGAGTTTCCCCCAGATCACACTGACCCTCCATCAATCCTGTGCTCCCTTTAACTCCCAGGGTGTCCTGTCTCTTGCACACCCATTATCTTACCGGAAAAATGGGATCATCATGGCCAGATGCAAGGCCTGTGTGCTCACTCTCCCCAAAATCCCCATCACCTCCCTCCCTCCTCCATCCTGCCTCCACAAGCCTCTCTACTCCCCATCTCTCTCTCCACAGGCCGCATCTGGCTGGACAACCTGAGCTGCAGTGGGACTGAGCAGAGTGTGACTGAATGTGCCTCCCGGGGCTGGGGGAACAGTGACTGTACCCACGATGAGGATGCTGGAGTCATCTGCAAGGACCAGCGCCTCCCCGGCTTCTCAGATTCTAATGTCATTGAGGTCTGCCATTCATACACACACACACACACACACACACATACACACACACACACACCCCACCCAGGATGACCAGGGTGGTTATATGTGGTTAGAGGGGATACTAGGAGGTAGGGGATCCCATATGCCCCACAGGCTAATTTGGGTTGGTGGGAGGCTTAGGGGGTGGGGACAAAGGATAGAGCTAGACATATTAAAGCCCAGGTTTGTTTTAGCATTGGCATTCAAGTTACTAAGCCTGGCATGAGCCTCTCCAGCTTCATCCCTGGTCCCCAGGGCATCCCTTGCTCTCCCTCCTTTCAGGTGTTCCTGCTCTCCTGGAACATCTCCCTTCCTAATCTCTCCTGCTTCCATACCACTTCCTCTGTGAACTGCTCCCTCGTGCTGGGGCCGCCTTGGGCGCTCCTTCCCCAGCTTCCTCAGCTTCCTCAGCACCCTCAATCGCCTCTCAGAGCACATGCCCTTCCTTCCACTCTCGTGGTCCAGGAGAGTCAGTTCATCACAGACAGCAGGCATGCCTCCCAGCCCTGTGGCAGCCCCTACTCGCCACTGGCTTTACAGCGAGCACATGATCAGGGGTCCGTGAGGGTGGGAGGACATGTAAAAGGCGCCACTGATTCTCCTTCCTCTGCTTGTGGTCCCATCCCAGGTAGAACAGCACCTGCAAGTGGAGGAGGTGCGACTTCGACCGGCCGTGGGGCGGGGCAGGCGGCCCCTGCCAGTGACCGAGGGACTGGTCGAAGTCAGGCTTCCCGAGGGCTGGTCGCAAGTGTGTGACAAAGGCTGGAGCGCCCAGAACAGCCACGTGGTCTGCGGGATGCTGGGCTTCCCTAGCGAAAAGAGGGTCAACACGGCCTTCTACAGGTGAAGGGATGTGGGCGCTGAGTGGAGCGGACTGGGATTGAGGGGTGCTCATTAAGGGGTGGTGTCTCGACCCCCAGGAGGGCCCGGGGCTCTGCAACAGTGGAGAAATATGGAGGCCCTTTCGAAACTGGAGAGTTGAGACATCTTCTGGGGCGGGTTTGAACTGGGGCAAGCAAAGCTTGCTCTCTCGGGTCCGCAGCCGGGGCGGGGCGAGTGGCGCCGGTCGCGGGTCGGTGCCCGTGACGCCATCGGTTGGCAGGCAGACTCTCCGCGCCTCGGGGCGCGCGCCGAGCCTCGCGAAGCCACGCCCAGCGGCCGGCAGGCCCGGGGGCTGTTACGGTTACGGCGCCGGCGCGGCCCCCGCCGTCCGACCTCAGGGAGCGCGCGGCCGCACCCTGCGGAGGCGGCACCTGGGTGTGTCCAGCGCGGGCCTGGGCGCGCGCGTGTCCCCGCCAGAGAGCCAATCCCCGAGGGTCGGAGGGTGCGGGGAGAGGTCGGGCCCTGCCCTCGGGAGCCCCCGGGACTCCTAGCAAGTTTTCCAGAATATCCTTCGGCCGAGACTCCCGGCCCTCTGCACCTGCCCTGGAGCCCTGGTGTACGCGCTGGCTTCCAGAGTGACGGATCACACCGGTGAACGGCTCTGTCCTTACAGCGCCTCGCTACCCTGGAGAATCTTATGCAGTCCTTTTGAGGAGTTTAGAAATCTTTACAGTCTCTCTGTAATCTACTACGCAGAGTAAAGTGCTAATTTGTTTTCAGCTCTTCCTTAGTTGAGTTTTGCAGAAAGACCTCTTGACATCTAGGTGAGCTTCCATTGGGCACAGAACTTCAGATATGGTCCGATCAGGGCAGGGTGCAGTAAAAAATGCTCAACTTTGGGTAGAGCATGCCCAGACTTGGTATTGACTTTATGTTGAGGAAACACCCCACTGTTCATATTGAACTGGTAATCATCTAAGACCAATTCAGATCTTCCCTTATCCTTGATACTAATAGAAAAGCCTATTTGAACCTAAATCTATGTTGAGTTTACCCTATTAAATTAGTTGGATACATCATTTAAAAACCTTTAAAAAGCCACCATGAACCCATGAGATTATCCTGAATCTTGACATTATTTTCCATTTGTCATCCCTCCCAGCTTCCTCTGGAGGATATACATGATAGCTATGCCTTCTGCCTTCATCAGAGTGAAATGTTCAAAACCAAAGTCTAACTCTTCCTTACTCATCAAGTCTTTACTCATTAGTTGTGAAATGTTTTTTCCATTAATTGGAAACAAACTGAACACTACGATGACGTAGCCAACATTTCACCATTTTATCTATAATGAAATCATGGGAGATTTTGTTAACCTCCCTTAAAATCCAGATATATTATGTTCATGGCCATTCTCCAGTCTTCCAGTTCAGTAATCTTATCAAAAAATGAAATCATGGTGGTTTGAGCTAATTTTTACTGAAATCCTTCTAGGTCTCTAAGGATCTCCATATATTTTCCTCACTGTTCACAAACTTTCCATTTAATAATGTATTCTAGAATATTATTCTTTAGATTAAGGAATCATTTTTCTTCTTTTTGAAAGTCAATACATTATCCAACCTCTGGTCTTCTCCACACTTGCTCTAATTTTCCTTGCCTTGGCTCTCGGCACATCTGAAAGTTCTTTCAGCCCCAAGGAATATATTTTATCTGGTCTAGAGGCTCAAACTGTTTTAAAACAGCTGTGCGCTGTGCTCCTTTACTGCTATCTGTCTTGGGGTTATATTTCTTTCTCTGTGCTGTTCTTTACCTTCCCTAACCCAAGCATCAGGTTCTGAAAGATTCGTACAATTTAAAAAGCAGAGATTTCAGTGACGAGGCTAGCGTGAACAAAGGGGAAGAGACCCATTCATCCAGTATTTATTTATTAGTGTCTACGGTGTGCCAGGGACTGTTGAAGACACTAGGGATTCAACAGTAGGCAAAAGAGACAAAAATCCCTGATCTCATGGACTAGGGAAGAACTGGAAAATAGTAAAATTTTAAAGTGCAAGGATGGCAAAGCGTGTAATCAATAAAAATAAGGCAGGGAAGGAGTTAGGAAGTCGAAGTAGGATTGCAGTTTTAGATAAAGGGGTCAGAGAAGGCCTCTTTGAAAAGGCATCATTTGAGAAAAGATTTAAGGGAGGTGAGGGCACAAACTGTGTAGAAATCTAGCCAAGCATTTACAGGAAAAGGGATCATAAAAGATCCTAGGGGGCAGGGAAGGGGTAGAGGGAGGGAGAAGGCACTCTTGTCACGCTCCTGGAGGCCACTGGGGCTGCAGCTGAGGCAACGAGAGAACATGACAGAGAGGTGATATAGGAGGAGATCGGGAAAGAATGGGGAGCCTGATCACGTAGGGACATTTGAGAGACTGGTTTGTTCTCTGTGTGAGATAAGGTTTTGAACAGAGGTGTGACATCTGACTTGCATTTTTAAAGTATTATTTTGGCTGTTTTAAAAATAGACTGTAAGGGATGCAGTAGAGTCAAGGAGGCAGAGAAATTAGTTAGGAGGTTATTGTCTCCTGAAAGCCAAGTAAAGAAAGTGAGAGGTGATGGTGACCAGTGAGAGTGGTGAAAAATCACATTCTGTGTATGGCTGAAGGTAGAGCCAACAGGATTTGCAGATGGATTTAATGTGGTATGAGAGAAGGAGAGGAATTAAGGTTCATTTCAAGGTTTTGAGCCTGAGCTAAGTATGGAGTTGGCCTTTTCTGATAAGACAGTGGGTGGAGCACATTCTGTGTGAGGAGGGGATGGGGGACACTGAATATTAAAACTTGGTTTTGGACCTGTTAAATTTGAGGTTCTCTAAGACATTGAAATGGTGAGGCTGAGTAGGCAATTGGGTATATGACTCTAGAGTTCAGTTGAATAAAAATATTACAAGCCCTGAAACTGGACAGTGTCACCAAGGGAGTGAGTGTAAACAGGAAAAGAGGGGTCCAAGGACGGAACTGAGAGCTTAAATGTTATGAGGTCAGGAAGATAAAGTGAACACGCAAACAGTGAAGTGAGGTAGAAAGAAAACCAAGGGACTGTGGTGGCCTGTAAGCCAAGTAACGGGCTTCAAGGAGGAGAGGGAGAGAGTGATCACCTGACTCAGTGCTGCTGGTGGGTCTAAAAGAACAAGGACTGAGAAACAAAAGCTGGATTTAGCAAAATGGAGTCATTGCTGACCCAGACAGAGATGACAGTGACTAGGATATTTTTCAAAAGATGGTTGACTAGAGTAGAAGGTTGTGCTGAAAAATAATGGAAGGAAGATCTGAATTACTTAAGAGCCAGAAAATGGAACGCTTTTCATGCCAGATTAGACAGTTTCATCTTTATCTTATGACAGAATTAAAAATAAAAGTATTTGTATGGGACACTGATAAATTACGGCCAGTGTTGTTAAAGTGTACCCAATAGTAGTGAATTGGAGAGAGGAGGTTCTAGATGCAGTAAGGCTAGTTAGGAGTTTGTCATAAAGGTGAAGCTGATTCGGAGGGTGACAACCAAGAGGGAGGGGAATGAACAGCTGTAGGATGACTGGTAAAAGAAAATAAGAGAAGACATACAGGACATGACCCTGAAGCTGCTGGAAAGAAGGATGATGTGTGCCATCAGGCACCTCTGGGCTTCAAGGTAATATGCACTAGCTTTCCAAGTGAGCCATCCTCGGCAAGTTTGAAACCCAGCAGTTATCCCTAGGTATGCATGGTCTGAAGTAACTTGCAGAGATCAGGAGTATCTGTGTAGATATTGCAATCTATTACTGAATCTGGGATATGAAGGCTGGAGAAGGACACATACTAAGTAGAGAGATCATCTGTAGTGAGGAAAGGGGTTACAGTAGTCCTGGGAGATTCTGTGATGGGGATATGATCTAGATTTCCTTTCACAGGTCACATCAGACAGAGGGAGCATTCTCACAGGTAATACCATCATAAAGGATAGGCAAGGTCATTACGAAGAACTCCACCTTCCTTAGAGAAAGAAGATACATTGGCTAGCTTTTAGAGGAAACCAGTAAGATTTTGGGAATGAGAAAATCAGAACATGATGCATTTATCATTTTTCCACTTGGTTTTATAGTCTGCCCTAGAACACGTGAAAGTTGTAGAATTTTAGAAGAGGAAAAGAATGTAAAGATAATTGAATCATTTACTGTCCTTTTGCAGGCAAAGAAATTGGGGTTCTAAGAGCTCAGGGGCTGAAAGCTATTTATTGAACTCCTGCTATTTGAAAAGCACTGTGCAAGGTGCTGAGAACACAGAGGTGATGAGAGATCACGGAAGACCTGACAGGCTACTACGTTAAGGATTTGGGTCTTTATAATAAAAGCCCTGGGAAACAAGTGAAGTGTTTTCATAAGGAGGGCTGTAAGAGGCCATGATGAGGTTTGGGACTCCAAAAAATCACTCTGACAGCATTTCTGAGAATGGTTTGGAGAAGAACAAGAGTGGATGGACTGGAGAGGTGTTTAGGAAGTAACACTGACAGGACTTGGTTATGGTCGACTTTGGGAGTCAAGAAGAGGTTAACTCTTAGGTTTTTGGAGTGGATTTTACTGAAAGAATTGTGGGTTTATTTTTTGGACCTACATTACATTTTAGAAAACTTTGAGACATCTAAGTAGAAACATCAAGAAGGCAATGGAATATACAAGGTTAAGGTGTAAATGAGAACGTATAAAGAGAGGATATGGAATGATAGAATGCCTCAGACAGGACTCCAAAAATTTAAGTGACTATCTAGAGGAGGAGCCTGTGAAGAAGACCAAGAGAGAGCAACCAGAATTAGGAATCAAACCAGACTAGTAGTGTTAGGACAGCCAAGGAAGGAGAGAAGGTGAGAACAGCAGTGTCAGATGCTACTGCGAGGTAAATAAGATGAAGATTGAAACTGTCTACTAGATTTATTATCGCAGAGTGATGGGGAAAACCAGAAAAGAGCAGGTTAAGGAATGAGTGGTAAGAGAGAGAATATAGAAGTGGAGCGTTGACAACTCTTGACAGTGTTTTCTATGAAGAAGTGGGGAGATATGGGGTGGAAGCTGTGTGTGGGGGGGTGTAGGAGAGATCTGAACATGTTTAAAATGATTCAGTTGAGGAGAGATTGTATGTGACTTCTCAACTGAGGAGAAGAAAAGATCCTAAGGGATGGAATTCAGAAACACTGGGGGGAGTGGCCTTAGAGACGGGAGAGAGAATGAGAAGAGGGTGCACAGATGTAGGTACATTTTGATGGTTGAAGAAACAAATCATAGGAGGAAACAAGCTCATTTGTGAATGAAGGAGTGTAAGTAAAGACAGATACCAGTACTGGTCCTAAACAAGCACCAGGTTCTTAATATAATCTATATTGTACCTTATATATAACTAGGTATGCCATATGATATTTAATATAAAAACCTTATAAATAACTAAGAGAAGAAGTACTTCTAAGTTGTTAGATAATACTACATTTTTCTGAGTACTTGTTGGAGGATCAAGATAATCTTGAAAGAAAACACAAAATATATTTCATTTTAGACAGATCTGAGAAAAAGACATTTGGAGAAAAAGTTTCACACTATACTTGTATGATGAGAGGTTCTAACTCTTAGTAATGTCTCAGGAAAGGGACCTGAGAGTTATTGTACACTCTTTTCTAGGAATGTTGGACATATTGGATATTTTGATAAAAAGACCAACTAAATACATCTTCAGGAAGAAGCCAGGGCAGGAAATACCAAGCAACTGCAGTGCTCTTTCAAATCTACATATTAACATCCTAGTACATCTGCACATAGTATATTATGTCCAGATAGGACTCCTCAAGAGAAAACAGCAGAGTAAGAACATGTTTAAAGAAGGGATAAGTACGATGATAACAGGGAGTCCCATAAATTTATAAGAACAGACAGGCAAAACCTGCATTCATCTGTACGTAGTTGGACAGGACAGAGAGGGGGCAAAATTAAAGTCTTTGAAATCAAAGGGAGAAGGATAGGAGAAACAGACCCAGTTTCCAGACATTAGACTTAAGGCAACCTCTTGACGAAGAAAATAGATCAAATATTTAGGCCAATTAAAAAGAAATAAAGTTTTAGAACTTATTTCTCTAGAAGTAAGTCTGGGAGCTGAACTTGGTTTGTGAATGACTAAAGCATATGGGATTTAATTTAGGCAGGAAGGATGGTGGCATCCTAACCCACCTGGCCTCATGTTCCCCAGTCAAACCAAGTTAACATCCTTGGACATCCAGCCTTGGTCCTGGTCCACAGGCCTCAAACCTGGAAATGCCAGAAGTCAGAGAGAATCCAAGAATAAACGACAGTCAGCCTCCCTATAACCAGGCCAGTTCTCTCTCCTTGCCTGGTCATTCTGACAATCTTAACAGTCCTAACACCTTCCTACTTATACCCTTCCTCATCGCCCTCCCCTTGGGTTTAGATCAACCCTGATATTGACCCTAGTCCCCATTACCTCTCTGCCCCAGCCTAATTTCTGTGGATGCTGGTATAGGGGCGCTATCAGCCTGAGTCCAGGTGCCTCACTGCTGCTCATCACCCTGGTCATGGGCATGTGAACCCAAACAGCTGTGAAGGGTTGAGCCTTGGGAGTATCTCATGTTATAACATCCTGCTGACTTTCCAACTTCGCTGTTGGAAAAGAAATTTGCCCTTGGCCCCAGCTGCACCAGCCTTTCCCACTTGGTTCTAGACTGATCTTGACTCTGCTATTGTCTTATCCTCACAGAAAGTTGAGGAAGCGAGCGGCCAAAGCCTCGGCCCGACGCCCCAAGCCCCTTGGAAGGTAATGGGGCAAGAGCCCCGGGACCTCCTGCTCACCCCTGTGGCCTGAGGAGGTGGATGGATGGAAGGCAGCCTATCCATGTCCATCCCAGAACCCAAGCTAACGAATTAGGGATGTAACTGCAAATGGCCATTCCTGGGGATGGGGAGGCAGGCATGGGGATGGGCAAGCTTTGATCTTAGGGTGCCCAGGGAGGAAATAATATAGGCATGGCTGAGGAGAAGCCTCCTCCTCCTTATACTTCCCCCAAATAGCTTAGACTCCAGCCTCAGCCGCCTGCATGCTTCCTACCCCCTACTCTTCACCCCACCCCCAGTTCACCCACATTCCCCTTCTCTCTGCTCCCTTTCCCTCTTGTCCCCTCTCCCCTCACCCCCTGGACTAACTAGATTTCTCATCACTGCTGTGGAATCCAGAGAGCAACCTGAGTTCCTAAAATGGAGTTCAGTGGTGTGCAGCAGTCAGTAGGGGTGGAAAATCTGGCCCCCTTCACTTTACTCCTTCCCACACTCTGCATAAAGTGTCCTTCCTGGGCCACATACCTAACCACTACCTCCACTAACTTCTTTCTCCTTTTTTCAGACCAATCACCAAGTTTAAAGTCAAACCCAAACCCCGAGTGGGCAGGGGATCAATCAAGAGGTAAATGAAGTTCAGGCTGGGTGTGAGGAGAGGGAGAGCGCAGTGATGATGAGTCAGGGCAATGGGGCTGTGGCCAGGAAGGGGTCCAGGACGCCCCCACCAAGACGTGGCAGAGCAGCAGTAACTGTTACAAACCACCTTCCAGATGAGTCACTGAAACGTAAAGTGATGCTGGCCCTTATGTTGGTTTCTGGGGAACTATGCTTGTCACAGGATTTTTGCAAGTCCCTTCTTCCCCAGGCTTATTTATCTTCCCCCAGTGAATTCTAGCAAATCCTCTGGCACTTTTGTCCTTCAGAAGCCACACTTGCCTCTCCCTCAAGAAGTTCAGTTTGCCTAAGGGATTCATGTTCCCCACTTACCTTTATTTGATCAATTTTTTAAAAATACGTGCTACCAGCTTGGAGGTGAGACTCAGGGTCCCCTCTGAAACCTTTTCCAGGGATGGGTTCAGATTACAGTCCGTGTGTCTCTGGCCCAGTTGACACAATGAGGCTCCCCATTCCCTAGTTTTCTCATGGGTTCCCTCAGAATTCAAGGGAGTGGAAAGCTTCCACCCCAGCGATTACCTCTCACTAGGCTTCCAAAGGCCATTTGCATGTGAGAAGTCTCCCCAGTAGCTTCTTCAGCAGAAAATCCATCCCTTTCTTCCGTCCCCTCCTCTGTTCTGCACATTCTAGGGTCACCCAGTGGTCCCCTGGTGGCCCTCCTTCCCCAGCTCCTCCTTCTGGTGGCTTCAGAGGAGCTCGGAATTTGGGGGTGTTCTTGTAGTGCCTTCTAGCTAAGGGTCATCTGTGCCCAACATGGCCATGCTCTGGTCTTCCCTGAACCGCAAACTCAAGGGCACACTGCTGTTTTTACTGTGTTCCTTGTGGAGAAAGGGGAGGAGGAAGTTTAAAAGAGCAATCTCTTTTTCCTGTGATTGGCCTCTTTGACTTTTATTTTCAGCCACACAGGACTTTGGGAGAGTACCTGATCTGTCTGAGCTTCAGAATCCACTGATCCTGAGCCTCCAAAGGTATTCTGTAGCATCTCCAGGCTTCCTTTGTCTGTTGTATTTATAAACTTTTCCTCTTCTCTGCATCCTCTAACCAGTGACTTCAAGTCGTCAGAACTCTTCCTTCCTCTGACATCAAGTGATGGGCACGTTACTACAATAACTCATTGCCAAGCCAGCCTCGCAGGCTCACTTCACCAATACGAGCCCTTCTCCCTGCACACTGCTCTCATCGCGTGCCCCACTGCCATCTCTCACTCTGTTAGTGTCAGTAAACAAGCCCCCTCGATCTCACAAGTCATCTCTCCTAAGTGCTTCCAAGTTTTAATGTCTCTAGTTTAGTCTCATTTTCGTGCTTGGGTGGCTATGGAACATTCTGTTACGTTTACATCGCAGAAACATGGACTACCTTATTAAAGCTCAGCTCAGGTCTGGAGAGATCTCTACCATTCCATTCTGTTGTGCGTATTCACTCCCCTCTGGCCATGTGGTCTCTAACTTGTGTCTGTCTTACATTTCTACATCTTCATTCCCACATGTGCCAGCCCAGTCCTTCCCTGTGTCCACATTCTGGTATATTCTTCTCATAACTACCCATCACATTCTGGCCTGGAAGACTCTCTGGCCTCGGAGAAGCCATGTAGACCCAAGACTGACTCACTCCTTTACATCCTGACCCTGATTCAGATCTCAGTCTCTGCGTAACAGCAGGCTGTGCACCCCCCGCTGGCTCTTCAGGCTTCCTGTTTGTGTCAGCCACTCCTTCCTGCCCATCTCTTTCAGCCGGGCAGTCCTGGCTTGCCCCCCTCTCTCTGCACAGCAGTCTCAACCCCAGCCTCCGTTAGGGCCAGCAGCCTGAAACCATTTGGAGCAAGGTTTCTGTCAGGCAAGTCAAGACTAGCTGTCCTGCCCAGAGAGGTCTCGGCTGCAGGTCCCCCCAAACCCTCCTGTCTGGGTAATCTGGGCTTTTTCAGCCTGGAAACTTGCCCATTCCCTTTGTCTCTATGGAGGGAAATGCAGCAGAGAAGAGGGGAAGAAGAAGGGATAAAATGGTCACGAAAGGCTGGGGGATGGTGGAGGCACGGAGGGGAGGAGGGTTGTGGGCAAAGAGGTAGGAGCATTGTTTTACCCTACTGCACCCCACTCCTGTCCCCCCAGGCTGCTGGCCCAGCGGCAGCAACACTCCTTTGGTCTGCATGGGGTGGCGTGCGTGGGCACCGAGGCCCACCTCTCCCTCTGCTCCTTGGAGTTCTATCGTGCCAATGACACCACCAGGTGCCCTGGGGGGGCCCCTGCGGTGGTGAGCTGTGTGCCAGGCCCTCTCTACGCAGCATCCAGTGGCCAGAAGAAGCAACAACAGTCGAAGCCTCAGGGGGAGGTGTGTGAGACAGTGACTATAACCTTCCCCACCCCAGGTGGAGAACCCCATAGCCTAGCCACCCCCTGACTAAGCACAGCCCTGACCTTTGAGGATAGAGAGGAACCTCTCTCCAGGGGGTGGGCCACAGACCTGAAACCACCCCCTCCCTCCCACCAGAATCTCATTCATCTCCCAGGTCTACTTAGCCCTCTGTGCTGATGTTTCCATTCACTGCTTTTGGGCACATCTCTCTCCTCTATAGACCCGAGTGCGTCTAAAGGGTGGGGCCCACCCTGGAGAGGGCCGGGTGGAAGTCCTGAAGGCCAGCACGTGGGGCACAGTCTGTGACCGCAAGTGGGACCTGCAGGCAGCCAGCGTGGTGTGTCGGGAGCTGGGCTTCGGGAGTGCTCGAGAGGCTCTGAGTGGTGCCCGCATGGGGCAGGGTGAGGGGGATGAAGATGGGAGGAAGAGGGAAGGAGAAGGTACACACTCTCCTGGGGGGTACATTCCTTGGGAAGGAGACCCCGAGGCAGACAGTGAAGGTCCAGTTATAACCTCCTGGTCTTTGGCCTCTCACCCTAGGCATGGGTGCCATCCACTTAAGTGAAGTTCGATGCTCTGGACAGGAACCCTCCCTCTGGAAGTGCCCCCACAAGAATATCACAGCCGAGGACTGTTCCCATAGCCAGGATGCTGGAGTCCGATGCAACCTTCCCTACACTGGGGTAGAGACCAAGGTCAGTTTTCTTTCCAGTTCAGTTCAGGGATCTTGCATCCTCTCCAGCCCTGGTCATGATGTGCAGCCTGACAGCTTCCCAGCCCACTGTCCCAGGCCCCCACCATCCGGCAGCTCCCATCCAATGCCCCCACTTGCCAGCCCTTATGTGCCTCTGAATCACCCGTCAGCCACACGCCTGCTGCAAAAGCTTACCCAGAACTTCCATTCTGTGTCACTACAGATCCGACTCAGTGGGGGCCGCAGCCGACATGAGGGGCGAGTGGAGGTGCAAATAGGGGGACCTGGGTCCCTTCGCTGGGGCCTCATCTGTGGGGATGACTGGGGGACACTGGAGGCCATGGTGGCCTGTAGGCAACTTGGACTGGGCTATGCCAACCATGGCCTGCAGGTGAGTGGGGGGAGGGAAACCAAGGCCTTTGCCTCCAAAGCCTGTGTCTGGGGTAGAGGACTGTGGAAATGAGTCCCTTGGCCCAAGAGGCTGGATGGTGGGGCTCACAGAAACACCAACATATGTTCCCAGGAGACCTGGTACTGGGACTCAGGGAATACCACAGAGGTGGTGATGAGTGGAGTGCGCTGCATAGGGTCTGAGCTGTCCCTGGACCAATGTGCTCATCACAGCACCCACATTGCCTGCAAGAGAACAGGAACCCGCTTCACTGCTGGAGTCATCTGTTCTGAGAGTGAGTGAACCCAGGGAAGGGAGGCTCTGGGCCACCCCCTTGGAGAGAAAAAGAGAGCTGTAAGCTGGAGGGGTACTCCTTGCCTGTGAAGAACCAGCCTCTCCCCCCAACAGGGGGAGGAGAGGCACCCCCGTCTGCCCCCCACCCCCAGCACCGACCTCCCACACTCTGTTTCCTTCCTGGGGGCAGCTGCATCAGATCTGCTGCTGCACTCGGCCCTGGTGCAGGAGACGGCCTACATCGAGGACCGGCCCCTGCACATGCTCTACTGCGCCGCCGAAGAGAACTGCCTGGCTCGCTCCGCCCGCTCAGCCAACTGGCCCTACGGCCACAGGCGTCTCCTCCGGTTCTCCTCCCAGATCCACAACCTGGGACGAGCGGACTTCAGGCCCAAGGCTGGGCGCCATTCCTGGGTGTGGCACGAGTGTCACGGGTGAGGGGGCAAGCAGAAGGGCAAGGTCACTGGAGATGGGGCAAACCCGCGGGGGGTAGGGAAGGCAACAGGGGTCCCCTTGTCCCCACAGGCACTACCACAGCATGGACATCTTCACCCACTATGATATCCTGACCCCCAATGGCACCAAGGTGGCTGAGGGCCACAAAGCTAGTTTCTGTCTAGAAGACACTGAATGTCAGGAAGGTGAGTTGGGCCTCGAACAGACGCCGGTATCTCCATCCCACAGCCTTGCCTCACACTGACATATGCCAATCCCTCTCAGATGTCTCCAAGAGGTATGAGTGTGCCAACTTTGGAGAGCAGGGCATTACTGTGGGTTGCTGGGATCTCTACCGGCATGACATCGACTGCCAGTGGATTGACATCACAGATGTGAAGCCAGGAAACTACATTCTGCAGGTGCCAGGGGCCTGAGATCCAGCTGGCAAGTGGGAGGAGTGTTTGTTAAAGACACCCTTGGATTTGAGGACTGCAACTGGTTATGTGGCCTTTCTCCCACTCACAGGTGGTCATCAACCCCAATTTTGAAGTAGCAGAAAGCGACTTCACCAACAATGCAATGAAATGTAACTGCAAATACGACGGGCACCGCATCTGGGTGCACAACTGCCACATTGGTATTTGGTGGGAAGAGGAGCCCAGAGAGACTGGGGGATGGGAGGGAAAGACCTTCATTCTCGTCTGCCTAAGTTGGTTCTGTGTCTTCCCACCCACCTCTGGATCTCCCAGCCTCTCCACTTCTACCCACCCTTCCCCACAACGGGTCTGCTTCCCCACCTAAACTGCCCATTCACCTTGTAGGCGATGCCTTCAGTGAAGAGGCCAACCGGAGGTTTGAGCGCTACCCAGGCCAGACCAGCAACCAGATCGTCTAAGTTGCTGCCACCCTCCTCCGCAAACCACCACTGGCCCCTAAGGGTGGGGGTCTGAGGCTGCCATTACCTCAGGAGCTTACCAAGGAACCCCAGATATCAGCAGGCCAGCCGCACTCATCCAGTGTGCGCTATGGAGGTGGACTGTCAAGCCGAGGTCATCGCCCTCCTTCCTAGGCCAGCTGCCGGATCTGTGGCCAAGCATGGGGAATTTTTGCTCCCAGGCCCAGCACCGAGCCAAGCACACGACACAGAACAGCACCTGATTAACTGCCCAGAACAACAGACAGCAGCAGCTGGTTTTCTTGAATAGGGAGATCAGAATGGTCAGCTCCAGTATCTCCCCTCAGCTGAGGGGGGGGGGATACAGCTTTACCTCTAGCCTTTTTGTGGGGGAAAAGATCAGTACCCCCCCTTATTTTTGACTATAACATGATGCTAGGTATAATTTTATTTTATATAAAAAGCATTTTTATGATTCCTCAGAGCCCAGGGATTGGTGCTGGTGGTTGGAGGGACCTGCCCCCCACTGGTTCATTTAATCCTCTGTCCAGGTACCCTCAGAGCCTAGGCCAGGAAAGCAAGGTGGAAATCAGAGCAGGAGCCTCATACTTCTGCTGACCCACTCATTCTGTGACTTCAGGGGTCACATATAAGGTCAATGTTTCCGGTCCCCGCCGGATGCGCACTGCCAGCTGGGATTGGGTTCGAACAGCTTCATAAATATCTTCAGCGTTTTGTACCAGCTGCTCCCCAATGGCCAAGATCACATCACCCGGCCGTAGACCAGCCCTATGGTGAAAGATGGACAGAGAGAGAAAGGAGGGAATAGACAGCCCAGTTCAAGGGCACATGCACACCTCACCCATCCCCACCTCACAAAGCAGTCTCTCCCTCACCGGTGTGCAGGGGAGTCCAGGATGACTTTATGGATGAGCACACCATGCTGAACATCAGGAAAGCTTGGTTCTCGAAGCTGTAGTTCAGCAAGGATGCTGAAAGGACAGAGATCACTCTGTTAACCACACCAAGGCACTCTCCCCATCTTGCGTTCACCTCAAATCTCGCATCAGCACACTGACAGCTGCATGGACAAGGGCATGCACTAGATACTCCGGATACAAAGGCAACTGGCTTTCTGCCTTCTGGAAGTTAGGAAGTGGGACATATATATAAAAGGTAACTAATTCCAAGTGATACATAGTATTAAGACAATAACACTAATGTCATTCTAGAATTCTAAGAGAAACTTTAAGGAGAGAGTAGAACTTAAAAGCTGAGCCTAAAAGAATGGTTCTGGTATTTAACTATATAAAGCAAGAACAACATAAATAAAACCATGGGAGTAGGAAATCAGGTTGGCTGGAACAGAATATATTCATGTAAGAAGCCAGATCTGGAAGGTTAAATTGGAGACAAATGGAAAATGGCCCCTAAATACCAGGTTAATTAAGTTTTTAAATCAAAGCAGTAACAGGATGCAATCAATCTGGTAGCAGGCGTACAAGATGGATTGGAGTGAGAAAGTCAAGATCATGGGAGAGAACAGCTCTTCTGATAGCTCCAAGTGTGAGGCAACTTATCTTAGATAAAGATAAAATTGAGAACAAAGCTCAACAGAAGTGCCAGTTGCCCACAACTGAACACACTGGTGGTCCTACAGGTCACTACCCCTAAAGCTCATACCTGGGAGTCAGGGTCAGCATCATCACCCCAATGTAGCGGCGCTGGGACCCACTGATTCCAAACCAGGAATCTGTGATAGAGGGACAAATGAGCCTCACCCAGTTACCTCCTTCCTTCCCCAACCCTTTCCTCCCAATAGACAGCCCCCCCAGCAGAGCCCAGTGAATGCCCCTCCCACCACTTAAAGGAATTCCGCCCCCCCCCCCCCCGCCCGCCAAGCCAGGCTCACTCTTCTTTTCCCCACGATGCAGAAACTCTCGAAGGCGATCAGAAGGGATGGCAAAAGAGATTCCAGCTGTGACCTTCATGGTATTCACTCCAATCACCTCCCCATCCTGCAGGGATAGAGCCCACTATTCCCTAGCCCAGACACATAGTAGGAGATGGGACTACCTGAACAAGAGTAGCTGGGAGTATTGGGGAGTTGGGGAAACCTTGCTGGATTCTGGGAGATAGCCAACAGGAGAATGCTCAGAAACTTAACCAAACATCATTGAATTAGGGGAAGCACACCCCTTCTCACACTGACCTGGGGCAGGGATTCTTGGAAAGAAGGATGTCCCACTCACCAGGTTAACCAGAGGACCTCCAGAGTTTCCAAACTGCAGGACAAGGAGAAAATATGGAAGAGATCCAGGGACTCTATGTCTGGGGGCATGACCAGGATGTAGGCACTTTCTCCAAATTCTCTCCTTTCCCAGCCCAATCTCTGTATATAGGCTCATCCACCATCTATCACAGTTGGTGCCTGCACCCCACAGCCTCTCCCCCAACCCCCAACCTAGTTTGTCATTTCTCTTATGTCAGAACGCACATCAATAGCTGCATCAGTCTGGATGTATTCCACATTGGTTTGGGGGAGGCCCAGGTCTCTGGCTGGACGCTGAGCAGAGCTGACAATGCCAGAAGTGATCGTATTCTGCAGTGCAAAGGGACTTCCCATGGCAACAACAAACTCCCCTTGCCGGACATCGGCTGAGCGTCCCAGGGGTAGTGTGGGGAGAGGTTCCTGAGGGGGAATGGGTACAAGAGAACTGTCACCTGGAGATGTGACCAAATTCACAGCCCCAACCAGACCCAGCCTGCCCAGACCCCCACCTTGGTCTGAATCCTCAGCGTGGCAATGTCTGCCACGGGATCCACAGCTGTGACCATGGCCTCATACGTGTCACCGCTAAGCAGCCTCACACGGACCCGGCGCCGATCAGCCACCACATGAGCGTTGGTTACGATGAGCCCGTCGGCAGCCACCACGAATCCTGAGCCATTCGAGATAGGGACTTCGCGGCCCGAGAAGGGGTGCCTGGGATGGGGGGAAAGCAAGAATGTAAGGAGGCTCAGACCCCTGCTCGCCCGCCCTCTAGCCCGCGGTTTGGGTGCCTTCTGCTCTTCCCCACCGTTACCGGCCCAAGATCTCGATATAAACCACAGCAGGTGCTGTCTTCTCCACCACGTCTGCGATGAAGTTGTACTGGCTCCGGGGAGAGGTGGGCGGCGAGCCAAGGACCGAGGCGAGGACCGCGGGGGGACCCCGCCCCCCGCCCCACAATAACAACAGCACTGCCCCCCCAGCGCCCAGCGCCACCGCCAGCCATACGCGCAGACGGGTTCCAGGGGTCCCTGAGACCTCCCGGGTCCTGGGATCTGGGGTCCCTGCAGTCAGCCGTGCTCGGGAATCCCAAGTCCCCGAAGTCAGACACGTCCGTGGTTCAGGGACCCCCACAGACAACCGGGCCAGGAGACTGGGGGTCCCATAAGTCACTCGGGCCCGAGGGTCAGGAGTTCCTGACGTCAGCAAGGCCCGGAGGTCAGGGGTCAACAGGGGTCCCTTCCCCCAGCGAACCCCCCCCAAAGCCCGCCATCCCCGGAGGTTCCAGCATGCACCCCGCCCCGCCCTCAGTGCAGCCATCAGCTCCGCCTCGGCTGCCTCCTCGCCCGCCCTACACAGAGGCGGCGCCCTGGATGCGAGCTAGCGGACCGAGGAACGCGGGGCACGTCGGTACCTGAAGTCCTCCAGAAGTGCACGCCGGGACCCAGGATTCCGGGAGGCCGGCTCCGCCCCCGCCCCGCGAATGCCGGGAGTTGTGGTCCCCGCGAGACGCGAGTTATGAGGTGGCCCAAGGGCCCGCGAGGCATGCTGGGACACTAGCCCTTCCGGGGCGCCTCAAGACCTCGGGTGCCGGCACCCTGGGCGGATGCCCGAAGACTCCGCCTTCCCAGGAGCCCCTGCGGCGGGGCGCGAAGATGGCGGCGGCGGCCGGACAGCCCTAAAAGAGCAGCAATGGATCCTTCCCCGGCGCTGGGGCCGGAGCGGCTCTTTGACTCGCACCGGTAAGAGCCCTGGCGTAAAGAGGCCGGCTCCCGCGTCCACGCGGGCTTCGGCGCCCGATCACCCCGCCTTTCGCCCCCAGGCTCCCGGGTGACGGCTTCCTGCTCCTCGCGCTGCTGCTCTACGCTCCAGTCGGGTTCTGTCTCCTCGTCTTGCGCCTCTTTCTTGGGATCCACGTCTTCCTGGTCAGCTGCGCTCTACCAGACAGTGTCCTTCGCAGGTAACGACCTGGGGGTTCCGGGAGGGTCTGGGCTGGGCCCGGCCCGAGGCCGTGAAGTCACCATTGCCTGCGCCCCCAGGTTCGTGGTGCGGACCATGTGTGCGGTGCTGGGGCTCGTAGCCCGGCAGGAGGACTCCGGACTCCGGGATCACCGCGTCAGGGTCCTCATTTCCAACCACGTGACACCTTTCGACCATAACATAGTCAACTTGCTCACCAGCTGTAGCACCGTGAGTGGGGGGCGAAGCCAAGAGCTCCACGGGGCGGTTCCCTGGGGCCCAGCTCGGCTCCCCTTTGCCCGCCCGCGTTTCCCTTGGGGACCACGAAATACTGAGCCTCACCCCTAATCCCGCTTCTTTATCCCAAATGTCAGTTTTTCTCACTTCCCAATGTTCTTTTCTTGCTATCTCTTTTCTCGATTCCCAGCCTCTACTCAATAGTCCCCCAAGTTTTGTGTGCTGGTCTCGGGGCTTCATGGAGATGGATGGGCGGGGGGAATTGGTGGAGTCACTCAAGAGATTCTGTGCTTCCACGAGGCTTCCTCCCACCCCTCTGCTGCTATTCCCTGAGGAAGAGGCCACCAATGGCCGGGAGGGGCTCCTGCGCTTCAGGTGGGTGAGCACAGGTATCGGTCTCCAGCTGGGTAGGTGGTCAGGCTTGGGGGCCCTTGAGTTTTCAGTTTTCAGCCCTACCTCTTACGACCTAGTTGATTTCTTTTCTGTTCGCTTTTAGTTCTTTTCCTCTGTATCTCTATTCCTCATTTATTTACTTGTACAGTTTGACAGTTTTCTGTTCTGAGTCAGGTGCTGACCGGCTGGCTAGAATCCCATCCTACTTTCTCTTCCATCTTCCAGTTCCTGGCCATTTTCTATTCAGGATGTGGTACAACCTCTTACCCTGCGAGTCCAGAGACCCCTAGTCTCTGTGGTGAGTGTGTGTTGGACAGGGAGTCTCTGGGGCTTGGAGGGTTAAGTTTCCCACTCCTGGCCCAGGCTTAGAACTCACTTCATGCCCTCCCTCCAGACGGTGTCCGATGCCTCCTGGGTCTCAGAACTGCTGTGGTCACTTTTCGTCCCTTTCACAGTGTATCAAGTAAGGTATTAACTGTCTTCACTTTTTGGTGGCTGGGAGAAGCTCACCTCAAGGTCAGGGAGGTTGCCTCTTCCCTGTCCATTTGCAGATCGTTTAGTATCAAGGTTTTATCACAGAGGCAATACAAAGTGTTTACTGTCTCCCCACCCTGATCACAACTGTTACATGAAAAGAAGTATCAAAGGGGGAGAGGGTGATAGCCTCTACCTAGATGCACACAAACATGATTTTTTTTTTTTTTTTTTGCAGGTGGCTCCCTCCTGTTCATCGCCAGCTGGGGGAGGGGAATGAAGAGTTTGCCATCCGTGTGCAAGAGGTGGTAGGGTACACAGACAGGGTGGAGGTGGGGTTTTTCCTTAAGGGTAGGAGGAGGAAGTCTTGAGACCTTGACAGTTTCAACCTTCCAATTCTCCCTAGCTGGTGGCCAAAGAATTGGGCCAGACAGGGACAAGACTCACTCCAGCAGACAAAGCAGAGCACATGAAACGACAGAGACACCCCAGGTTGCGCCCTCAGTCAGGTATGTGGTCTCTGTACACAAAGTTGTTTGGGTTTTCTCGGCCTCTTGTGATTCCCTTCCTATTCCTGTGCTAGTCAGCCTCCTTCCTCCCAGTTCTCCACTCACCATGTTTCGGATTTCTTTTTTGCAGCCCAGTCTTCTTTCCCTCCCTCCCCTGGCCCTTCTCCTGGTGTGCGGCTGGCAGCTCTGGCTCAGAGAGTCAAGGAGGTTTTACCCCATGTGCCACTGGGCGTCATCCAGAGAGACCTGGGTATGGGAAAGGGTAGCCTCACACAGGAGACAGGCGCAGAGAGGAAAAGTGGGTGGTGAGGGGAGAAAGTGAGCAAGGAAACAGACTCCCTTCTTCTCTCTTCCCTTCTCCCCAGCCAGAACTGGCTGTGTAGACTTGACCATCACTAATCTGCTTGAGGGAGCTGTAGCGTTCATGCCTGAAGATATCACTGAAGGGACCCAATCCCTTCCCACAGCCTCCGCCCCCAAGGTGAGACCCAGGAAATGGTTAGGTCCAGGACTAGGGCTGGGATGGGCAGTCTACATATTCCCTATCCTTGATGTCTCTTTTTTGATCCTGAGACCCTAGCACGGTGCCTCTCTTGCAAAGTAGGCATTCGATGCGTGTTTAATGATGATGACTTCGCAAGCCCTCTGACATTGTGATCACCTCAGTTCCCCAGCTCTGGCCCGGTGACCCCTCAGCCCACAGCCCTCACATTTGCCAAGTCCTCCTGGGCCCGGCAGGAGAGCCTACAGGAGCGCAAGCAGGCACTCTATGAATATGCGAGAAGGTGAGGGGCTTAGAGGACAGTGGGTAGGAAGGGGCAGGTTGGAGAAGAGAGCTAATTATAGGGCTAATGTGGCAAAGCCCACACAATGTCTTCTTCCTATGTCTTGCAGGAGATTCACAGAGAGACAGGCCCAGGAGGCTGACTGAGCACAGGATGGCACCCAGAGCCGCAGGACGGAGACTGGGGGCAGCCCTCACCCAACTTACAACTGGCTGGAAGGGTGGGTGGTAAAAAGGGAGGGATGGGGCTCCCCCCAAAATCATATTAAATTCAGGGTTTTCACTCAAGGTCTCTGTTGCCTCTCTGGGGCTCAAAAGCCCACTGAGCAGGTTCTTTTTCCCTTGGTTGGGGGGAACAGGGGTGAGAGCCTCCTTGTGGGTTTGTGAGAAGTGGTTGAAATCACCCCTTCGTGTCAAGAAATGAGTGATACTATGGAAGTGTAACTGAATTGAAGACCAGCAGCAACTGGACCCTAGCTTGGGTGTTGGCCCCACTTTGTGAAGAGACAGCTGCAAAACTACAAGTCCCAAGATGCCTTTCACTAACAGCACAATGTACACTGTCTGTAGAGTACACATGCTCAGTGTGGTGTCTGGAACCTGTTTTCCATAGGCTTCTGACTAATTAAATAAGGTGGAGCAAATGGCCCCACCCCAAAACCAGGCTTAAGGATTCCTGTTTAAGCCAAGCCCCAGGGTGGAGCCGGAATTTACCTTTGTACTTCACTCGGGTCTGGGTTGGTGGTGACTGGCTGGGTGGGTCTGGAACTGGCTGCCATCGTGACACGTCTCAGAGCTGCAAGCAGGTTTGAATCCAGGATCCCTGTGGCCCTGCTCCCCGGTTCCTACCCCTTTCCTCCTCCTGTTCTTTATCTCTTTATCCTTTTCCCCTCAGAACCTTCCCACAGGTTACCATAATTCCTGCTGCCCTGGAGGCCCCCTGTGTTAGTCACAGGAATTTTACTACCTGACTAACAGGTTAATAGTCCACTTTGATAGTCCCACACTTTCAGACTCAAGTCTCCACTGTTTCCTGGCAGGCAAGAAATGCTGGGAAGGATGGACCCCAGCGCATTACTGCCTGAGGGTACAAGTTAGGGATCAAGGGTGGGAAGTTGGTGTAAGTCATTTTAATATGAGGCCTTAATCACTGCCCTGCCTTCTGTAGGTACTGCCAGTCAGCTACCATGGCCTCTCAGCGTCTTGGGCTGGCAGAAGAGTCTGGCCCAAACCCCAGGGAGTCTGAGTTGGCTGTGAACCCCTTTGACGGGCTTCCCTTCTCTTCCCGCTACTACGAGCTGCTTGAGCAGCGCCGAGCCTTACCCATCTGGGCTGCTCGCTTTATCTTCTTGGAGCAGTTGGAGAGTAGCCCCAGTGGAGTGGTGCTGGTGTCTGGAGAGCCTGGCTCTGGCAAGAGCACCCAGGTGGGGGGAGATTCTGGGAGTAGACAAAGGGAGGGACTAGAGAACTGGTCCTTCCACTGGCAAGGTGGGGATTGGGCTCCATGGGGTTTGAGGGGAGTGGTCAAAGGGAGACTGGGTTAGACTGGCCCCTGGGGGGCTGGTGAAGGACCAGGGGACTCCCCAAATTAGAATGGCCACAGTCCCCCCTGCACTTCTGACTGAATCCTACATCTCACTGACTGGTTGTCCTTTCCTATTCCTACACCAGATCCCTCAGTGGTGTGCAGAGTTTGCACTGGCCAGGGGGTTCCAGGAAGGCCAAGTAACTGTCACTCAGCCCCACCCTCTGGCAGCTCTGAGCCTGGCCATGCGGGTTGCCGATGAGATGGACATAACCCTGGGTCATGAGGTTGGATACAGCATTCCCCAGGAGGACTGCACTGGGCCAGACACCCTGCTCAGGTGAGGCCTCTTGCAGGCCTGACCCAAATCTGATTTCCCTCCCCCAGTAGAAACAAGCCCAGTCCTCTGACATCTCACCAACCCTCCCTCAGCCCATGTCACCCTTTAGATCATGCACGACACAATGCTGAATTAAGCCCTTAACCCCAGGCAGGGACCTTGGATATTCAATCTCACCCTCATCACGAGCCTCATTTGCCCAGCTGGAGTACAGCTTGTGAAAAAAGCGTCATCAGTGAGGTTGTGGGTCTCAACACAGGTTCACGGCATCTTTTTCTGACCTTACTATCAAAATCTAGGCCTCCCAGGAAGACGTTCCTCTGGACTTCTGGAGTTGTTCAGTGTCCACACTGACTCCTCTGCCCATGTCAACAGGTTTTGCTGGGACAGGCTGCTTCTACAGGAGGTGGCCTCAACCCGGGGCACGGGAGCCTGGGGCGTGCTGGTGCTGGATGAGGCTCAGGAGCGGTCAGTGGCCTCGGATTTGCTCCAGGGGCTACTGCGAAATGCCAGGCTGGGAAACCATCCAGGGGACTCGAGAGTGGTTGTGGTTACTGACCCTGCCCTTGAACCTAAGCTCCAAGCCTTCTGGGGCCATCCTCCTACTGTGCATGTACCCAGAGGGCCTGGCGCGTGTCCCACACCTGTATACAGGGACACTGTCCCTACCGATCGAGTGGAAGCTGCCTGCCAAGCTGTGCTTGAATTGTGTACGAAGGAGGCTCCAGGAGATGTGCTAGTGTACCTGCCCAGTGAGGAGGTAAAAATGGGCTGCAGAAGGTTCTCGTGTATGCTGCCTTCCTTCCCTGGGGGAGTTGGAGCAATGCTTGTTAGAGACATTGAAGTTGTAACATTTACTGTGTTGAAGTCCTTAGGACAAACTCAAGGATTTCGGGGTAAAGAGGTCTACCGCCCCTTTTTTGACTCCATCTAACACAGAGACTGTGGCTCAGTGAATTCCTGAAATTATAACAACTTTATGAGTATGTGCATTTTTTCAGAGTGAAAAACCATAGCTTTCATCAGTTTTTCAAAGGGGTTTGTCACCAAAAAGGTGAGAACTGCCTTAATGCCCCACCCCTCTCTTCAGGAAATTTTGCTGTGCTGTGAATCCTTGTCCAGGGAGGTGGAGCCCTTGGCTCTCAGAGGTCCTCCACCACGGGTGCTGCCCCTTCACCCAGGACATGGCCCAGCTGTTCAGGCTGTATACGAGGACATGGACTTGAGTGCCCGAAGGATCGTGGTCACTCACTGGCTGGCTGACTTCTCCTTCTCCCTCCCTTCCATCCGACATGTCATTGATTCAGGACTGGAGCTTCGAAGCGTGAGTGAGAGAGATGAGGGGATGTGGGGGCTAAAGATAGAAGTGGCCCGCTCTGAACTGTCTTGGCCTTGGTTGGGGGGGTGGGGCGGCGACAGGTGTACAATCCTCAGATCCGAGCAGAATCCCAAGTGTTGAGACCAATCAGCAAGTGTCAGGCAGAAGCAAGAAGACTGCGGGCAAGAGGGGTCCCACCAGGTAAGAGCCTTTGCCCTTCCTGAGATCAAACATGAAAAGAGTCCCCACACGCAAACCCCGAGAAATCTACAGAGGCCTTCTTTCCCAGGTCTTTCTCCCCTCAGGGTCCTGCCTCTGCCTGTATCCTAAGTCCTTCCTAGAACTAGAGGCGCCCCCGCTGTCCGCACCCAGGATATGTGAGGAGAATCTGAGCCCCCTTGTGTTACTTCTGAAGAGGAGACAGATTGCAGAGCCCGGGGAGTGTCACTTCCTGGACCGGCCTGGTGAGCACCCCCCTGCCCAAGTTCTGCTGTCTGACCTGGCTCTGAGACTCCCGGCCCTATCAGCCTTCTTTCCTCACCAGCTCCGGAAGCACTGATGCAGGCCCTGGAAGACTTGGACTACCTGGCAGCCCTGGATGATGATGGGAACCTGTCAGACCTGGGAGTCATCCTATCAGAGTTCCCCCTGCCCCCTGAGCTGGCCAAAGCCCTGCTGGCCTCCTGCGAGTTTGACTGTGTGGATGAGATGCTCACCCTCGCCGCCATGCTCACTGGTATAAATCACTTCTCGCTCTGACTCTTGCAGCCACTTCAGTCCTTCCCAGCCCTTTCTGGTGTTCTGGTGTTCCCAAGACCAGCTCTTTCCCCTCTGCTCCCTTTACAGTGCCCCAAAAACCAGCCCTAACCACTTAGCCCTCTCCTGTCTTTTTAGCCTTTTCCCAGTGCTGGTCCTTGCCCCCAGCATGTGTAAATCTCTCCTGTTATTACTAAAGCTCCACACCCCTCTCCATCCACCCTCTACTCCCCTGCAGCAATGCAGAATCACCTCTGCCCCAGTCGGCCTGGTGTGTTCCCGCCCACTGCATCCCAGGCTCAGGCCCACAATAACACTGACAAATCTCTCAGTTCCGCGGTGACCACCACCTCACCCCCCACCACCCCTCCCCTTCCACCAAGGCTGAACCCACTGAATACTTCTGAGTCCTTATACCTTATGACCTTCTGACACTTGAAAATGCAACCTCTCCTGCCTTGAAACTCCCCCCTCCCTAAGCCTCTGTGACTTGCTCCTCCAGGTTTTCATCCTACTTCTCTGGCTGTTCGGCCGTTCCCTTCATCTCTTCCCTGGCTCTTTGTCCTCTGCTCATCCACTGTAAATTGGACCTCAGAGTTCCATCCTTGCCCCTTTTGCCTTCTCATTCCTTGAACTCTCTGAGCAAGTTCATGCACACCCATTAGTCTGAAGTGCCATCTTTACACTTAAAATTTCCAAACCTTCTATCTCCTGACAATACCATTCTTCTGAATCTTAGATATATATATCCGATGCCTGATGGACATTTCTATCAGAATTGGCCACAGTACCCAGCCCAGATCCGAACTCAAGCACTTGCTTAAACTCTTCCCTCACCACCACCACAAAACCATGCCATCATCTCTGCAGCTCCACTACCATCATTCTAGACTAATCTTTCTCCAGGTTCTTTCAGTTTTATCTCCTAAATGTTTTTTTTTTTTTTTAATTCATCTATTTGTCTCCATACTCACTATCAATGCCAATGTTAGATCCTCACCACCACTCAGCGTAGATTCCTTTAGCCTCCTAACTTGTCAAGTAAACTTCTTTAAACACTTGGACTCTCTTCCCTCAAAACTCTTCTTCAACAGCTATTCTCTATCTTCTGGACAGAACGTAAACTCATTGGCCACAGCACATCCAGCCTCTTATGACCTGGCCCACACCTACCTCTCCAGCTTTGTCTCCTGCCACTCTGCCACACATGCCACTCCCCTGACCCTTTCTAGGTGCATGCAGGTCTCCAAACAGGCCATGCTACTAATTTCTGTACCTTGCCATGCCCACAGTTCAGATTCTCTCTGCCCCCTCTCTACTGAGCTAATTCCTAACAAAACTTCAAATATTGGGATGCCTGGGTGGCTCAGTCGGTTAAGTGTCTGCCTTCGACTCAGGTCATGATCCCAGCGTCCTGGGATCAAGCCCTGCATCGGGCTCCCTGCTCAGTGGGGAGCCTGCTTCTCCCTCTGCCTGCCACTCCCCCTGTGTTCTCTCTCTCTCTCTCTGACAAATAAATAAATAAAATCTTTTAAAAAAAGCTTCAAATATTGGTCCACACACCTGTTGTGCTGATCAAGTTTGCTTATCTGTCTCACCACACTCTAAGCTACTTGAGGGCAGAGACTGTCTTTCGTTTATCTTCAATGTCTAATAAAGTGCAAAGCACCTAGAAAGTTGTCAACGTCTTTTGAATAAATTTCCCAAAGTGACACTTCCTACCTTTTCACCCTTCCTTCTGTACTGCTATCCTTTCTCATTCCCCAGAATGACCTTCCTCTCTTCTCCTCCAGCTGCTCCTGGGTTCACCCATCCTCCACTCTCTGCAGAAGAATCTGCCTTGCGTCGGGCCCTGGAACATATGGATGGTGATCACAGTTCTCTGATCCAGGTGTATGAAGCCTTTATACAGAGTGAGTAGCCCACTCTGCATCTTGTATTTTCCAAAGAGGGGAAAGTGGTGTGCAACCAGCTGGTAGATCTTTGTGCCCAGGAGGAGGAGGCCCTTTGGCCAAGGCCTGGGTTCTCTTCGGGGTCTCTCTGCAACTATAGCTGTGCCCTTTCCTCTTGTAGGCGGAGCAGACAAGGCTTGGTGCCAGGCTCGGGGGCTCAACTGGGCAGCATTGTGCCAAGCCCAGAAACTTCGAGGTGAACTCCTAGAACTCATGCAACGAATTGAACTTCCCTTGTCCCAGCCAGCCTTTGGCTCTGAGCAGAATCGCAGAGACCTTCAGAAAGCGCTGGTGTCAGGATACTTCCTTAAGGTTAGGGGAAAGAGTTGGGGTGAAGGTCATAAAAGGAGTAGAAAGCAGAGGGACCAAAAATTGATAGGCCATCTCTGAAACTGGAGTCCAGGTGACCATTCAAAGGATTTTTTAGAAGCAGGAGAAACTTTTCCTTTGAGGTATTGGGGTGCAGGGGACTATGGGAAATGCCATATGGGAGGGACTCTAACACCTAGAGATGATGCTCTACTTTTTATACTCTCAACACCCTTCCTAATTCTTTCTCAGCACCCCCCCCCCTTTTCTTTTTCCTACTGCCTTCCTTTTCTCCCTCACTTACTCCTTCACTATCTTTGCTTTTAAATGAGGTGGCCCGAGACACAGACGGGACTGGAAATTACCTGCTCCTGACACATAAGCATGTGGCCCAGCTTTCCCCATACTGCTGCTACCGAAGCCGCAGGTCTCCAGCCAGACCCCCGCCGTGGGTGCTTTACCACAGTTTCTCCATTTCCAAAGACAACTGCCTTTCCATTGTTTCTGAGATTCAGCCACAGATGTGAGTTCCCTGACACCCCTCTTACACTGCCCATTCCTCTTCTTGGGGCCAAAATTATGGCTGCGGAGTTAGAGGATATCCTCTTAAGGAGAAGAGGATATCTTAGTGGTCTGTAGTGACATATGATTTGAGGGGACAGGGCTTGTGGAAGGAATGGGAAGAAGTTTAAGAATCTGCATTATAAGGGAGGATACAGAAATCATCTAACTGTGACTCTCTCTGTCAGGCTGGTAGAGTTGGCTCCTCCATACTTCTTGAGTAACTTGCCTCCCAGTGAGAGCAGAGACCTCTTGAATCAGCTGAGAGAAGAAATGGCAGCTTCTTCAATAGAGAGTGAATCTCCCTCTACCCAAGAGTTTGGAGATGCCTGTGTCCTGCAGTGACATGCCTAAGGAATGGAACTGAGCTCATCTGAAGGCATTAGGTCCTCTCTCAGGCTAGCACCAAGGTAGCCAGCCAAAGCTTCGGATCAAATGTAAATCCTGGAACCTGAGTCTCAAGAAATGGTAGACTGAGAATAGAGGAAATTGGGTAAGCCACAGTATACATAAGGTTGGACCCTTTCTTTAGCCTTCTTCTATTTATTGGAGAACGACTGATGCCCCCCAAACCCCCAATTTATGCCAAACCCGTCTTTGTGTGCTTCACTTTGATCTATAAAAGTTCTTTCTCTATGGTGCCAAATTTGAGTTTGATTCTGCAGCAGCATATACAATATCCATGAATTAGAGATGACACAATATCATCCAACTCCTCCAGCAATATCCTCTTGCCTTGTTCCCACCTGTGGTCAAGCTTTGCGGTATGAATGACCTAGCTGTCACTAACCCAGAAAATGTGTAGTTTGACTACAGTTGGTCTCTGACCCTGCCTGAAGCTCACTTCCCTTTATCTTGCTCTCACCTACAGGGGAAGAAGAATGAGAGTGCTATAAGAAATCAGACAAAATCTTCCCTTTTTTCCACATACAACTTAGATCCAGCTCCTTCTTAACCCTCAAGGCTATTGAAACCATCCCCAAATTCTCAACTTTCCACCAACAAGCTTCCCAGCAGCCTCTGGCCTACCAGCATGCTAAAGCTTTTCTAACAAATTCAGGGACATCACACTTTCCTTTTTTCCCAGCTGGGCACTCCTTTCCCTTTTCTTCCTTTAAATTATTAATTTTGATATCTTCCATCATCTTTCACATTGTAGATATGTTTGTAGAAATTGGTGAAAAGAAAGATTTAATCCTTAGAACTCTGCTTCTCTCCTCAGAGTGTCTTCCCTTGGAGAGTCTATCTGTTCTCATCATTCCATCTATCCCCACCTCTATGTGGATGTCACCCAACCCCCCCCCCCAAAAGCACTTTTCCAGAATGTATTCTCTTTAGGTCTAGCATTCAGTTTTGCCTGTAGTTATCTTGCTCTAATCTTTCAATTTCCCCTTCATTATCCACAACACCATTGATCTCCCAATCCTCTATATCTCCAACCCTGGAATTATCTTTGATTCTTCTTGGATATTCCTAGTTATTTGCCAAAATCTGCTCACCCTAACTCCACGGGGCCCATTAATTTTATCCACTGCTTCCCCCTTTCCTCTCTCTGTCCCCACGGGAGACCAGAGCCAGATTAGTGTTCCTGGATTTTCTGTTTCGTTGGGTGTGTAAGTATCCGTCTTCCCTGCCGCCCATGTGCGTTGTGAGGCTCAAGGAGGAGGACGGAGTCAGCAGGTTGAACACACATGACAACATGAGGTTCAGAGTCAGAAAGGTATCCTTAGCGATTAATTTTACGGTTGAAGAATGAGATGCCTAGTGTGGATAACCCTCTGGTTCCTGTCACAGTCAGACCCTTGCCCTGCAGCGCCTCTTCCATTATTCCGCTGTCATTGGTGTCTTCCTTCCCTTGCACCTTTGATACAGACCCAGGTAGTGCGAGCTGCCGCCGCCCCATCCCAGCACCACCTTTAGCCTGTTCTGTGGGTCCAGAACCCCAGCTTCAACCCACCCTCCGAAGAATCCAAAGTCCTCAGGAGAGCAGCTCCCATTGGCCAGCCCGCCCCCCTCCCCTCACCTCATTGGCTACCATACTGCAAGTCCCGCCTTCTTGGCTCCTCGGGTTCCAGCTGCCGAGCGACCGCAGTTAAGTGGGAAATGGCGGGAAAGACCAAGTCTAAATGCGCGGCGCAACCTCGAAACGCTAGCCGAGGAGCCGCGGTGGCCGAGGAGCCCTCGACGATAGCCTCAAAGCCAGCTCCTCCTCACAAGCTCCGCTACCACGGCACCACGGCACCACGGGGTGGTCAGCCGCGCGCTCCGTGGCCCTGGGTCCGGCGCTCCGCACGGCGCCTCAGTCCGTTAAAGAGCACTCGGCCGGTCAGGCAGGCGTCGCTCACACCACCGAGGCGAGCCCGGACACGGAAGCCACCTTGTTGTCCTCGGCCCAAGGCTGCAGATTCTGCAGCGCGAAGAGCGACGAGTTGTGCAGGCAGAGCGGGTCCGGGGGCAGCGGCGGCCGCAGAGGCCGTGGTAGGGCATCCTGCTGCAGGTGCAGGAGCAGCCGGCCCGCGCGGTGCCGCTCCGCCTCGCGCTCCTCGGCCGTCTGGCGCCTAGGCGAGCGGAGACGCGGGGTCAGCGAGGCCGGCCCTCGCCCACCCCGCGCCTCGTCCTCACCCGCCGGGCCCGTGGTTCCTCACCCGCCCCGCGCCGCACCGCCACTTGACGCCTCCCGCGAGCCCTCGCTCGCCCAAGCCTCACCGCCACTTGGTGCGCCGGTTCTGGAACCAAGTCTTGACCTGGGCGTCGGTCATGCGCAGGGCCTTGGCCAGCGCTGCCCTCTCGGCCGAGGCCAAGTACTTCTGGCGCAGGAAGCGCCGCTCCAGCTCCAGCACCTGCGAGCGGGAGAAGGACGTGCGCGGCTTCTTCCGCTTCGGGGGGGTCCGGTTTTGGTACGGGTGGCCTATGCGGCGCGTCCCGGAGAAGGGCGAGAGTGCAGCTACGGGCAGGAAGAAGGAACAGGGCAGGGTTTTCAGGGCGGTCCTTCCAGGTGCCCCAAGCTCGGCCCCACACCAGCAAAGGCCTCCAGACAAGAAAGGGCCTCGGAAGAAATGGCCCTCCCCCTGGGGTGAGAAAGAGAAGGCCCCCGGAACTTCACCCTGCCCTACCCGCAGTGTGGACAGTAGACTGCAAAGGAGGGCGCGGACATCGACGGCAGCTCCCTCCCCATTGCCTCTCTCAGCATCAGGACCAAGAGATACATGTTGGGGGAGGATCCCCTGGGATGATCCGGGCGGGGAGCGTACGGGGAACTTGAGTTGGAGCAGAAGGATCAAAGATGAGGAAAAGGGGTCAATGTGGGGCTGGACGCTGGAGGGTCGGACAATCTCACCCGTGAGCCGGTCCTTGGCAAAGCGGCGGCCGCTGTCCATCCAAGGGAAAGTGAGTCCGGCTAGGCCCCCGGCTCCGCCCAAGCCAGAGGGTCCAGGCACTGCCGGCGCGCCTCCCGCGGGCGGCGGCACTGGCATTGGACGATGCGCGGGGACGCGGATCACGCCGCCTGGGCCCATGCCGGAGCTGCCAGGTAGCGGGGCCAGCGAACCCGCGGGACCGTAGCTTGAGGTTCCGTGAAATCCACCCGAGAACGCCGCACTCTCCCCATGGCCCTGGCCTGAACGACCGGGGCCTAGGCCGCTCCCGGGGGGTTCCGGGCAGCTCAGGATCTGATCGATGCCAAAGCTGATTGGCTCGTGGTGCGGGAGGTTGTGCGAGGCCAGGACCGCCGGCTCCATGGGTCCGGGTCAAGGAGGACCACAGGAGGTTTGGCGGTTGGGGAGGGCGCCCCAGGCAACTCTGGGAGCCCAGTAGCGGAGCGTTCGGGGCGGCGGCCTCAGGGGCCCGCGGGGCTGGCCGCTGCGGGTCGCCGGGGTCGCCGGGCCAGCTTCATCCCTGTGCACGGGGAGTAGCCGCGCCGGTGCCGGCCTCTGCCGGGCGTCGGCGCAGGGACTCGCATCCCGGGGGAGCGCGACCGGCGGGGGCCCCAGGAGCGCCCTTGCTGTCCCTGAGGCGCAGATGGACGCTGGGCTGCCGGGGCCTCTGCCCGAGTCCGGGGTGGAGAGGGTTGGCCGGCTGGGGATGGGGCAGTGACTGACAGATCAGCATTGGGTGGGTAGTGGGGGCTGGGGGTAGGGCAGGGGCGGGGCCGTACCCGTTAAAGGGAAAGAGACGCCTGTTTGCGCCAAACGCCCGGACGACTGGCGGGCGGGGATGGTGGGGATAAGGCGGAGGGGGGTGGGGGGTGGCAAGGGTGTTAGGAACCAGGCTCAGCACGGGAGGGGCCAGAGCATGGGCCGCTGCGCGCTGAGTCAGGCGAGATGCGCACAGCAACTCCATCCTCGCCGGCCTCCGCCTTTGGGCTTCCTCGGCCTCACCGGCTTCCTCGCAGGTGCCTCCTCCCACAGCCCCCACTTTTCGCCTCGCGATGGGTCCTGCCTGCCGACTGCCAGATTCGTTGTGGTCCCCGCCTAAGTGCCCTCGAAGACCAAATCTCGTTGTGGCTTCCTGGCTGCGATGGGAAGCGGTTGGGAACGGCGCCGGCGAGTTGGAGGCCCGGGAAGAGGACAGGTGTGGGAAGGGGGTGGCTGGGCGCGTCTGGTGGGCTAGGGCGGGGAGCAACCACCCTGGGCCAGCGATCCTGGTGCACCTCCCGGCTTCTGCCGTAGGGCCCCTACCTCCTTCCCGGAACGCCAGTAATTGATGCCCTGTGTTTCTTAGCATTTCGATTTTCTGAAATCGGTGTAAAGCTCAACCCGGGCTCAACCCGGGCTAAGTCAGGCGGATGAGAGCTTGGAGCTGGCGTTCCGCCCCCCACAGGGGGCCACCAACGCGGGACTCTGCCCCTCCACTCTGCGCCTAGGAAGTCAATTCTCACAAACTTCCCCCTCAAGGGCGAGAGGACAAAATCGCCACAGGCGACACGTGGGTCTTCACTGAAGCCTTCGGCGGTGTCAGCCGCCTCATTTCCCACAGACGCTTCACCCCACCCAACCCCAGAAACTGTGCCTGGAGTGTGTCACGGATGGGAGGTGGGGAAAGACTGAAGGGCTCGGTGACCTTGTGACCTCTGGCCGGGGACCCAGGAGCTGGGAGTATGTGAACTCTGCGTCCTTCCCGGGATGGGACCCGGGCCCGGCGGGCCCCTGCGCCTTAGACCCGCCCCCGCCGCCGCCCGGCCCGGTGCAGGCCGCCATAATCGGGTTAGCTGGGTCGGAATTACATTACCTTCCCCGGCCCGCCCCGGCCCCGGGGGGGGCCTGGCGCCTCCGAGCCGGTGAGACTGGGCGCAGGGAGGGGGGTGTTGCTACCATTCCGAGGCGGGTGGGCACGGATGAGCCGCTCCTCCTGCCTTGGACACGTGGTGGCCAAAGGACCCCACCCTGCTGTGTCAGCCCTAGCCCCTAGACTCCAGCCCACTCTGGTGCTCAGCTAGTCTGTTACCCGCGTAAGCCGAAATGCTTTCCAAGTCTCGTAGATGGGTCTCCCTGGGAGCACAGATCTTCCACTTGGTTCTCCAGGATCTCCTGGGAAAGACTGCCCCTCCTTTCTCCCCAGCAGATGGGCTGCAGCCCTGTGCCAGAGGCAGGGTGAGGGGTCTTTTCTCTCCAGGGAACTGGGAACGATATTTGGGCATCTGGGCAGGAAGATAAAGAACGGAGGGAATGGACTCTCCAGACTAAAGCCACCAGGCCCTCCCTCAGTGTTCCCAGAAGCCTCAGTCTGAAGGGGGTGAACCATGGAGGAGGGAGGCAGTTGGCATCAATAATATGTGACATCCTCCCACAAATTCTTGTCCACTTCCACTATCCAATTTCTCCAGCCCTTTCTGACCCTGCCAATAGCCCCTTCTGAAAGGGGAGCAGGGGGGCTCCTGCCAGTTTGGCAGCTGTGTTGTTATCTTGGGTTGGTGGGACAGACAGACATTATCACCTCCCCTAGCCCCTCACAGAAGCCCAAGCACCCTTTCTCAGCAGTAGAGAGGTGGGGCTACTAGGGGGCATGAAACTTCTGCTGTTCAGGGAAAACCTCCAGAGACCACTTGGGCTGGATCCCCTGAATGAGAACAGAGAGCCTAGGGAGACAGCAAAGTAAATAAAGACCCTGAAGGGGACTGGCCTACAGGTTAGGAATCTGTCGGTCTTTTTTCCCACTCTAGTGGGTGGGCCTCTGAGGAAAGGGTGGGCACTAGTGTGTCTCCAATCAAGCTGAATAAATCCTTCTTGAATCAGTGAGGGAGGAAGACCTGTATACCTGCTGACTGTTCATCCGGCCTTTTGAGGTCAGCACAGCTGGCACTGCCACTCAGAGATTGCCCAACTGACCCTTGGAGGAGAATGGTCACAAACCCAGTAATGTATACACATCTTCTGGGGAGTTACCAAAAAAGAAATGAGTGCCCTACTTCAAGAACAAAGGGTATCCAATTCTGTCAGCCACAGTCCTAGGGATTCTTCTGCTTGTCTCCACCACTCTGATCCCCTGATTCCCTGGAAAAGGTGGTTCCTGCTAGTTTATATCTAAGATGGAGGCCCTGGGGTCAGAACCCCAACCTCCTATACACACTCCTTTGCCTCTTTCTCACCATAGCCTATGTGCATGTGGTCCCCAACCCTTCAAGTTTTCAGGCCTTCAAGCTGGCAGCTTCACAGGAAGAAGCATGTTCCCAGCCTGTGCTCTGGTGCCGTCCCTTCCTGCTTTATGTGCAGTGTCTTTCCCACGAGATGGTCCCCACTCCTGTATCATCATTTCTCTCATTAGCTTAGTCCTTCCTACCCCCAACTGTCTTAGGTCTCTTTTACCTGGACAAAAATATTTGCCTGACTCTTCAAGAGAGATTGTAGTTTTCCTTTCCCTTGTACTCTGCACAACCACTGCCTCTACTTCCTCATCATTTATTCTTTTAACTTTAAAGTAGTATCTACACCCAACACGGGGCTCAAACTCACAACCCCGAGATTAAGAGTAGCAGGCTCTACCGACTGAGCCAGCCAGGCGCCCCTCATCATTTATTCTTTTAACCCACTACAACTTGGCTTCACCACACTCTTTTTCAAAGAGCTCCAGGGTCTATTATTGAGGATTTCTCTGACATATTTTGCTCTGTCGATTACCAACTATTTCTTGAAATATCTCATTTGGTTTCTGTAATATTGTCTTATTCTATATCTTAGGCTTTCATAGTCAATGCTTATGTTTTTTCGCCACCGACTTTGCTTTTTCCACTGAAGACTGAGCATTCTCAGAGCTCGGACTTCAGCTTTCCCTCTTTCTATATCTACTCAAGGTTTCACCCATTCTAATAGTCCCATCTATTATATCCACTCAGGAAATTCTGGATCTCTATCCTTGGCTCTGACACTTGCTGTGTTCCAGCCCCTCTGTCCTAAACTTCTGGCCAGCTCCACCCACCTTTGCTGCAGGCACCTTGAAGTCCAGCAGGCTGGAGGATGTGCTCCTCTCCCAAGCTCCTCAGTCACTCCCTCCTGTGCTTCCCTTTGAAATGTCTCTGATACAGCCCTTTCTTTCCATTCCCACTGATAAAATCTAAGCTAGGCCATCATCACCACCACCTACATTTATTCATTTGTTCATCCAGAAAATTTTGATTGAATACCTACCATGCACCAGGCACTGGAGATAGAGCTGCAGACACAACAGAAGGGGGGAAAAAATCCCTGCCATACAAAGTTTATATTCTAGTGGGGAAGGCAGGTGAAACACAAGAAAATATATATTAAATAATAAGAAATGCTAAGAAAGAAAAAAAGGGAAGGGGAGAAGTGAAAGGATGGGGTTGTGATTTATCTAACGTGATCACAGAAGCCCTCACAGAGTAAAGACCTGGAGGAAGAAAGGAGTCATTTGGATATCTGAGCATTTGATAATGCAAGTACATCTTGGTGTTATCTGTGGAACAAACAGTAAGGGGTCCAGTATGGCTGGAGAGACCATGCAAGGCCTTGAAGCATTAGAAGGGCTTAGGCTTTTATTCTGAAAAGGGAAGCTATTGGAAGGAAAAGAAGCCTGATTTAAAAATTTTGTTTTTAACAGGTTTCTTAGGATAAAACTAACATACAATAAACTGTACATATTTAAAGTGTATAAAAGTGTATGTGTGCACACGCAAAGCCATCACAATCAAGATAATAAACACATCAATCAACTCAAAAAACTTTCCTTATATCCTTTTTTATTCATATGGAAACGTGGAAACAAGGAAAACAGGCCAGAAGCCACTGCGATCAATCATCCAGAGAACCAATGATGGTATCTTGGACCAGGGAGGTAAGCAGTGGCTGTAGTGAGAAGGGGTTGATTTAAAAATCACTAATCTCATAACTTCTTGCTGCTTATCCACTACAATTATTCAAAGATAAATGAGCAAAAATGTTTCTTTCATAGGGTAGCTCCCTCCCTTAAAAAAAAAAAAAAAGTCTGCTAGCTCCCTATTGCCCTCAGGCTAAAGTCCCAGCTCCCTGAGGCCCTGCTTCTATCACTACTCTCAAATCCACACCTTGGCCTTCTTCCTGTCCATCTCTCTGGTCATTCGCCTCCACTCTGCCTTTCTTTTCTATTTCCACCACACTTCTTGTCCACGCACCCCATCCCCATTCTCTAAATTGTGCCCACAAAAAGTCCCACTTCTTCCAGAAAGCCTTTGGTGGCCTCCACTGGGATCTCTCCCTTGAGTCTCCAACTACACTTGATGTTAATACTTCACAGTAAACTAATCCTTGGTTTTTAATCCCCCTGGAAGTACCTAGGGATGGCGGTGTACAAGGTCTAGAGCTCCTGCGACCTTCCCAAGTACGGGGCTGGGCCTATGCTACTGCGGGCGCTGGCTGCTTCGGCGCGTCTCTGTGCGGTAGTGTCCCAATCCTCCTCCCCTCCTCCTTCGGCATCTGCTCTGCATTAGTCTGTCCCAGGCCTCCGCAGGCGCCGATGATTGAATCATCATCATTAACCAGGGTCTGCCCCCCGCCCTCCACAAGCCCCGGCGGCAGGGGAGGATGGGAGGGGGGGCGAATAAGATCACTACACCAAGTCCCTGGGGGTCCCTCCCTCCCCGCCACCCTCTCCGAGACTCCGCAAAGCCCCGTGAAACTCCCGCCGTGGAGCCGGGAGAAGGCCTGCCATCCGGATGAAGCTCCGTAACGCAGACGCGTCAGCTGACGAGAGCGACATTACGAGGAAAGGACCCGGGAGGGGCTTCTTTAGCGGGGTCGTGGTCACAGGAGATCGACGACCCTGGGCAGCGGCGGGCGGAGACCTCTGGGCCCTTTGGGGTAGAAGGGGGCAGTCTTTTGCAGGCTCCAAAAGTTAGTCCCGCGGTAGGGTAGGGTCTATTGTGATGATTACTACAAGAGGTCAGTGAGATAGGACCCCCTCCTCACAACCCCCCCTCCCTAATTACGGATTGAGGAGGGGGAGGGGCCAGTGGGGCTCAGGTGAGCACACGGGGAGAAAGGGACATGGGCGGGGCCTTACAGAGGGTCAGCGAATCCGAAAAGACCTAAGCCCTCGTTGCTGGGCGACAAGTCCCGCCCCGCAGGCGGCACCGGAAGTGGCCGGCCGGGATCAGCCTTTAAGATGGCGTCTCCTCAGGGGGGCCAGATTGCGATCGCGATGAGGCTTCGGAACCAGCTCCAGTCAGTGTACAAGATGGACCCACTACGGAACGAGGTGCAGGGGCGGCAGGGTTACTGCTGTGGTCGGCTAGCGGTGCGAACTGGGGCCGGCTAGAGGACGGGCGGTGGCTGGCCCGGCGCCCAGTGCGCCTGCGCAGAGACAGGGCGCCCAATGCGCCTGCGCGATTGCGGTCGGGTTGCCAAATTCCGAGCTAGGACGCTTGCGCATTGTGCCGCCCACGTCGTGTAGTCTCCCCTGGGAAAGGAAGGTCGGGCGAGTCCACGTGAAGGGAGCCCCCGCTGTGCGCGGAGCCCCCTGCTGGGCGGAGGGGGAGTGTCAGCTCCCGCGAGCTAATCCCCTGAGGACCGCGCAAGGTGCGAGACTTGGTCGTGGGATGTGTTGAAAGGTATCACCCCAGCTGGGAAGGCGTATGATTTGGGGTTGGAGGGGGTGATCGGTGACGGAGAGTGGGTCCGCAGGAGGAGGTCCGAGTAAAGATCAAAGACCTGAATGAGCACATCGTCTGCTGCCTGTGCGCTGGCTACTTCGTGGATGCTACCACCATCACAGAGTGTCTTCATACTTGTGAGTGCCCTGGACCCTGGCTGGTTCTTCCAGGCCCTAGCCCCCACCAAGCTGGTTGCCGGACTGCTGGCTGCCTGCCCCAGCCACCCAGGCACCCCACCTAGCCCATGAACCCGATTCCCAGAGGGCCTGAGAGTCTACTTTTTTCTTCCTGCAGTCTGCAAGAGTTGTATTGTGAAGTACCTCCAAACCAGTAAGTACTGCCCCATGTGCAACATCAAGATCCACGAGACACAGCCACTGCTCAACCTCAAACTGGACCGGGTCATGCAGGACATCGTGTACAAGCTAGTGCCTGGCTTACAAGACAGTGAGTGACCAACCCAACTTTGAGGGGCCTCTAGAGGGCTGATGCTGAGTGGTGACTTGAGATGACAAGGGCTTTCGTGGGAATCACATAGGTAAAGAAGTTGACAGTCACGGGGACAAAGTATGAGGAAGGGGTAATTCTTTATTTCCCACACTCCCCTCCCTTCTAGGTGAAGAGAAACGGATTCGAGAATTCTACCAGTCCCGAGGCTTGGACCGGGTCACCCAACCCAGTGGGGAAGGTATGTCCCTTGGCAGCAGGAGGGTAAGATAAAGCCCCCAGAACATCACTCTTGACCAGTTTTGCTCTCTGGGGAAAAAGGACTGTGGAATCTGTGCCACTCTCCTCACTACTCTTTCTTAGAGCCAGCCCTGAGCAACCTCGGCCTCCCTTTCAGCAGCTTCGACCACTCGAAAGCCCACTACTATCGCTATGATGAGCAGCTGAGCCTATGCCTGGAACGGCTGAGGTAAGGAACAGGTCATGAACTGTCTGAAGTAACAGTGTGAGTGACTCAGAACCAGGGAGGGGCTTGGTGAGAGGGCAAGCAGTGAGGGAGTGTTTGTTCCCTTGAAGAGAGTATACCATAGCTCTGGGTGGGGGACAGGAAAAGATCAGACTCCCTAACTTGTGTCTGTTTCCCCCAGTTCTGGCAAAGACAAGAATAAAAGCATCCTGCAGGTGAGAGGGGCTGAGGGGAGGGCCTCTCTAAGGAGACTCACCTCCCTGTGGCCCTTCCCTCACACACCTTGTCCTTTTGCCTTCCATCCCTATCCCCAGAACAAATATGTCCGATGTTCTGTTAGAGCTGAAGTTCGTCACCTCCGGAGGGTCCTGTGTCACCGCTTAATGCTAAATCCCCAGCATGTGAGTATTCCCACAATAGGTTTTTGGGGAAGGGAGGGGTTGAAAGGGAGGGACAGAGTCTGTAGTAGACCAAGGTAGTTCTTGATCTACATGAGAGAGCAGTTCCTAAAGCTGTGCCCCCATCTCCCTCCTAGGTACAGCTCCTTTTTGACAATGAAGTTCTCCCAGATCACATGACTATGAAGCAGCTATGGCTCTCCCGCTGGTTCGGCAAGGTAAGCCAGAGCCAAGGCAGTCCCCAGGGCAGCAATGGGCTGAGGGGGCATTTTGGGTAAGAACGCGCCCACTGACTGCTTCTTCTCCTTGTTCTCTCCTTAGCCATCCCCTTTGCTTTTACAATACAGTGTGAAAGAGAAGAGGAGGTAGGGGCCAAGCCCCCACCACATCCCTGTCCCCTTCCCTCCCCAGATATTTATGTGAAATTAACTGCGGCTTTATTTTTTGAAATAAAAACTTTAAAAAAGCATCTATTTTCTTCCTTTCTTCCTTCCACATACTCATGCTTTGTTCTGTGTTCTGCTTCCCTCAGAAATCCTCTGAGTTTCATCATGAAGGAGGGCCTCTCTATGTCCGTGGTCCCTCAGTGAATTGCCAAAGGAGAGGGGTAGAGGACCCTACACATATAAAACTCAGAAGGTGAGCTAAGTGGAACCAGGTTACTCATACCAGCTTTTTCTTTTTTCTTTCTTTCTTTTTTTTTTTTTTTTTTTTTTTGGTGAAGGGAAGGCTTTCTGGAGGGGAGTTCTCACTGTACTTGAATGTTGTAGCATATGCTGCAGGCTTGAGTGGAGGTGTCCTAATTCAGGAGTGGTGAGGGTAGGGCTAGGGTTAGACAGTGGCCACTGCAGGACTGAAGAAAAGTGATATGTTAAAGAAAGTTCCAAAGAATTGCTTTATTGGAGGAATCTTAAAAAAAAAAAAAAAAAATAGGGGGCTAGGACACAGGGAACACAAGGGTGTTGAGTTGGAGACATGGTTGTCCATATAGGATTCGGTAGGCCTTCAGGTCCCTGGATTAGGTGAAGCCAGGGTGAGGAGAGGGAACTGGTGTCCAGGAGAGCAAAGGCAGCTTCAGGTAACAAGAGGGAAGCAGCAAGGCTATTAATTCCCTTGATTAATTCAGTGAACGTTCCTTGTCTGTATGAGCCCAGCCATGAGCCTTGGGCTCTGGAAGTACACTCAGCCAGGCTCCCTGTTCTGTGGCCTCTTAGTAGGATAGTCAGAAACTTGCCTGACTGGGACAATGACAGATGGAGGAGGAAGCAGCGAGGTCCTGAAGGGAGCTGATGGGCTGTGGCTGAACCTGGGACGAGTGGGATGGAGCAGGCAGCAGAAATGTTGCCAGAACTCATGCTTTTTTTTTTTTTTTAAAGATTTTATTTATTTATTTGAGAGAGAGAGAATGAGAGAGAGCACGTGAGAGGGGGGAGGGTCAGAGGGAGAAGCAGACTCCCTGCCGAGCAGGGAGCCCAATGCGGGACTGGATCCCGGGACTCCAGCAGCATGACCCGAGCCGAAGGCAGTCGCTTAACCAACTGAGCCACCCAGGCGCCCCCAGAACTCATGCTTAAAGCCCAAGTCTTCAACGGGCCTAAGTCTGACTCCAGTGAATTCAAAGGGGTCATTGTGTATCGCTGGCGAGGGCTGAAGGCCTGAAGCTTCCAGGGATAGAGACGGGGTGGCAGAAGACCTAGGGAGGAGTACAGTGAAGATGGTGTGAACTGGCTAAGAGAGCCTGAGACTGGGGCGGCCGGGGGTGGAGGTGGGTGCGGTGTGAGGGGCCTGAGCATAGTGGCCAGTGCACAGTAGACCTGGCCTTCTTCCCTCCACACAGATGAAGCTTGTAGGCCATGAGAAAAGCACAGGTGGAGAGACTGCAGAAAGCAAGGAAGAGCCGTCAGGTGTGATGGGCGGACAATGAGGACCAGGGTGGGGACATAGCAGAACAATCAGCCTGACAGAATCTCCATGATTCCCAAAGCGTCCCATGTTTCAGGCCTCATGCCTGGAATGCCTCTCCCTCACCCCATACTCAGCTGTTCTTTCAAGGCCCAAGTATCACTTCCTCCAGGAAACCCTCTCTCTGTCAGAACCCAGGCTTTTTCCACCCCTTTGTGCCTGCCTGTACACCAGCATATATCTTGAGATTTGGGATGAATTATATCTCTCTTAATTGGGCTCCCCCCCCATGTCTTCTGGGACTCCACGGCCCACTCAAGCATGCCACACTGAGGCTGTTCTCAAGGAGTTTGCGGGTGAAAGGGCATTTTTAAGGAGTGACCCAGGGAGAGGTGTGGGCTGAGAGGGAAAGAGAGTAGAAATGCTCCTGAGGATTTTTTGGGTCCCCAAGCAGCTGCAGGAATTGGGGAGCAGTCTGGGGCTTGGCAGCAGCTTGGCATCAAGAAGACCCAGTCAGAAGATAAGGCTGACTGGGGACCAGGCCTCAGGGATGAGGCTTTTAATGGCGCATGGCTTGAGGCCAAGGAGCATCGGAAGGAGCTCAGGCGGGGACCTGGGGTGCAGCGGGCCACCTCCCCTCGCCCCCAGCTCTGCAGAACCTTCTTTTTGTCCAGCAGCAGCCCTGGCAGAGGCAGCTGCGGTGTGTCTCCCGAGGTGGCTGATGCAGGCCAGCTGCAGGCTGAGGGCTGAGCTCTGCTCTTCCTCTGTCGATGGGTCTGTTGCCCCCCTGCCTGGCTTGTGCCGGGAAGACCCAGTCCCCCAGGGTCACTCTGGTTATGATCTGCGCCATGGGGAGAATCAAGCCCAGGGTTCTCTTGAGCTGTGTGACCCAGAATGCACTGGTCGCGTTCAAAGAGGTGGCCGCAGAGTCATCTGGGCGCACAGCGGGCCCTCTCTGGGCGGAGCCCTTGACCTCTCAGCGCTTCTGGGTGGAGGCGTCAGTCCTCACCCGCAGGGTCAAGCTGGCCCTTGCCCCTGTCGCCCTTTCTCATCTAGCCGTTTCAGTGGGCCACACTCACCTGGGGGGAGGGGGCACCGAGATTTGCCCCCGCCTTTGGCACAGGGGAGAACCAGTTCCTCTCAGCCTGGCCAGTCTCTCAGCGCCAGGGGTGGGCAGAAAAGGAGGGAAAAGGGACTTCACTGGTAGTGGAGCAGTGGGTCTCGGGGGTGGAGGTGGGGTGGGAGGGGTGTGTGTGTGTGTGTGTGTGAAGGATGGGGGGAGGTGTGTGTGTGTGTGAGAAGGATGGGGGTCTGAGTATCCCACTGCTCCCCCGGTGCACACAACCACCGAGCTTTTTGTGAGCCTGCGTAAAGGGCTGCCACGGGATCACGGACTGAGCGAGGCCCTAGAAGAAATGAAACTAAAATGTTAAGTGTCTGAGTCTATTCATTCCGCAGCAACGTTTTCTGAAAGAGAAAACAACCTCGGAAGTGTGGGAGATGGACGGCTGCCCCGCCCCACGCCCCGCTGCCTGGAGTTTCCTCCCTTAACTCCTACTTCCCTCTCCCTGGCTAAGGGACTTCCCTAAGGATGGGGAGGGGCAGCCAAGCACCTCTCTGTGACTAGCCATATCCGTCGGCCTCCCTGAGGGGGTTATCAGAGGATCCCCAGTTGCCCCTTTACATTCACAGAATTCAAAGGAATGCGCGGGGAGAGAAATTTGGAGGCTAAAGGTTGTTTATTGAGCAGATCTCAGTGCCTAGAAGGGGGGCATCAACCTGGGGGGGGGGGGCCTGGGTCAGGGAGCCCGCCAGATGGGAGGCTGAGGTGGGCAAGGTGGTTGAGAGGTGCAGTGTCAGGGAATGAGGGAGAAGGTGGGGGCCACAAGGAAAGGGAAATCTGAAAGTGGGTGAAGAACAGAGGTGTGAGAAAGCATCCTTAAATAGGAATAGAGGCACCTTCCTGAGGGAATGAAAGTTGGAATGTGGGGATCTCTACAAGGGGGAGGAGCAGAGGACCCCCAAATGTCTGAAGGGACAATGATGGGAATCCGAGGAGGTGGGAGACCACGAGGGGTTGCTTGAGAACGCTGAGAGAGGAAAACCGTCCACCACTTGGGGCGGGGGGGCGGAGGGCGGGGGAAGGTGCGTAACTATGAATCACTCTGTGAAAGAGGCCCAGGACAGGAAGGGTTGGACCTTGGGGTGGGAGGTATGGGTGGGGGAAGCCTACAAGACAGCTGAGCGCCACAACCCCCTCCCCACCCCCAGCCCAGAATCCAGGTTTCATCTCTTAATCTCCCTCATTAATCATTCACCTTCCTCCTACCCCCATCAGCGGATCTGATTTCTTCCCAGCTCAGGTTCCAGAGGTTTTGCTGGGAGAAGTCCCCTACTGTGGCCCCACCATCGTCTGGACACGTCCCTGGCCTCGGGGCTGACTTTAACGGGCTCTGGTGTCAGTGGCCTCCTACCTTTACTAGTCTCTCCTTGCCTTTCGTCCCCCAAATGGGGATCGCCCAACTCTTTTGTGCAACCCCATTACCTGAGCCTGGTTGCTGGGGGAAGATAGGCAGGAGAGATGGATGGGGAGGAAGGCAAAGGCCCTTCAGGAGAGAGGGTACTCCCCACAAACACACTAGTAATTGAGAGCAGAGGAAGAGATGACCTAAAAGCTACGTAGAGGAAGCCTGAGTGTCTGTTTGGTGACAGGGCCGGGACAAGGGCTAGGCTGTTGCAGCAGCCTTCTGGAACCCTCTTTAAATGCAGATTAAGTGAAACGGGCGGGATGGTTCAGAGGGCTGAGGCCTCCACCTAGGAGGGTCTCTCTTGCCCCCCCTCCACCTCCCACCATTAATAACCAACTAGCAAGGTCCTGAGGCATCTCAGCTTTCTGCTGTGGCCTGGCTCTGCTCTCTGCCCCAGCAGTGGCCCATTGGACTGAGTGTATTCCTCAGGCTGCCATGAGGGTACTGTGCAAGCATCTGGGTGTGTCTGGGGGAGGGGAGGGGTCTTACCAAGAAGACCCTGTGTTTCTCCATCTTTGTTTGGTGGGCCGGGCCCCCTCACCCCCACTATCAAAGTGCCTTCTTGTCCTTGTTAAAGAGTCTTTGGCCCAGGTGCCTTAGATCTCCCAGGCTCTGTTTAGGGCACCTCAACTGCAGGCTCCACTTGCCCCAGGGAACAGGCACAGAGGATCACTGCACAAGTGATGGGAGGTGCAGAGGTCTACAGAGGTGACATAATGGACAGTCCAGGAGGGACTTCTTCTTGGCACTGTTGGAAAAAACTAGAATCCTGTGGAGGCAAGTTCCTTAGGAATGGTGAGCTCCTCAGGAGTGGTGGGGCTTCTCTGCCTCTGGGCTGTGAATCCCCTAGCTATTTGGTGAACAAAACCCTTGCCTTGTTGGGCCTCCACTGGTGAAGCAGCGTTCTCCCAGAGCTGCCTGCTTCCTACAAAGGAGAGCTGTAGAGTGCTCACCCAGGTATGAGCTCAGGACTAGAATAGGTGTGGGAGAAAACAAAGACACAAATAAGAATGAATATCCCTGGGGCGGCTGGGTGGCTAGTTGGTTAAGCAGTTAAGCGTCTGCCTTCGGCTCAGGTCTTGATCCCGGAGTCCTGGGATTGAGCCCCAGGTCCGGCTCCCTGCTCAGCAGGGAGTCTGCTTTTTCCTTGTGCGCGCACGCTCTCTCTCAAATAAATAATATCTTAAAAAAAAAAAGGAATGAATATCCCAGACGTCAGAGTTTGTCCCTGAGTTGGCAGGGGTTTTTGTCCCAGGAACTGGTTGGATCCATGAAGTCTGGCCTTAAAGTCACTTCTCTATGGAGAGTGACCAGTAGCCCTTCCCCTTGCTGCTCCTACACGGTGGTTTCTGGCTCTCCAGGCTGGGGAATCCCTATCTGAACTACAGGAGCTTAGTAAGGAGGCGAAGACAGATGGACTGCTGGGTCTTGCGGAGGCCAGTCTTCCCTGGCAAAGACCCAGCCCCGGCAGTAGCGCTCGCTCCGCATTTGCTGGGTCCTCTCTCCCGAGGCCCAGGTCTCCTCCGCTTCTCCATGCGTTTTGACTTTCGCAGGGCCTCTGAGCCGTGGTGGAACGACTTGGGTCCAGAGAGCCGGAGGAGTCCACTCACCTGCCTTTGCTTCCACATCGCATCCTGGTTGCAGACGCTCTGCCAGGCCAGGTCCTGCCGAGTCTCGAGTTGCCCCAGCCCCCTCGCGCCGCACTAATAACTTCCAGCCGCCAGGACCTCTTTAAGAGCATTCGGCAGGGATGGGGCGGGGACGAGGCGGCTAGGTCAGGAGACTGAGGTTCTTCCTAGGAGAGATTGGAGATCCTAGAACCGTCAGCTCTGATCTCCCTCCTCGGAATTTTGCAAATCCCCATCCGCCGGGGGTCGGGGAAGCAATCTTATTGCCGACTAGTTTATGAGCCAGAGCCACGGCTTGGCGGGGAGTCAGTGGCACACAGAATCTGGGGGCCGTCCAGGAAGGGTCCAGCCTGAATGTGCACCGGGCCGCGCCCCGCAGCGCGGAGCAGCTCGGCGGCACGGTACGGCAGGTTGTTCGGGGCTTCTCTCCGAGCCTCCCCACCCTGTAGAAATACCGCTGCCGGGACATCTACCAGCTCCAGACCTACTGCGGCCCCGAGTTGGGGGCTGGGGGCGCAGGAGGAGGGGCACACGGGGCTCGGGCCCAGCGCGGAGGGCGGGTCCGAGGCGGGGGGCCCAGATCGGGAGCCGTGCGCCGGGGCCCAGGCAGCTGCGGAGCGGATCGCAGCCGGCGGCGGCACCGCCACAGCCCGACCGGCCATGAACTCGGGACCCGAGCCCCGGACACCCCGGACACTCTTCAGCATCGCAGACATCCTAGGCCCGAGCATGGTTCCCCGAGGACCTTCTACGTCTCCGCTTCCAGAGTCGAGCCCTGGTCCCACATCGCCTCTGTGCGCGCTGGAGGAGCTGACCAGTAAAACTTTCCGCGGACTTGACGGGCACGCTCCGGAGTCCTCTGAAGGTATAGCGACCGCGAGGTCGCGCACTTTGACTCGGCCTTCTCCCCATCTCTCTCCTCCAGGTCCGGGTCTCGAACCTTCGTTCACCCTGGCCCCCACCCTAATCTGCCCCCTGCTCTCAGCCCACGTGCTGGGACTTGCATCTCCCACTCCTCACCTCCCCTCCGTTAGTTCCCAGGCTCCGCGGCCGCTCCTGGAGGCCGCCAGCGCCGAGGGGAAGGGCCGGTCTGTCGAGAACTGAGTGACCCGCGGGTCGGTGCGCTGTAGGCGGGGCAATCGTGACAGAGAGAGAGACCGGTGAGAAGGAGACAAAAGGCCTGAGCCGGAGGCTGTAAACGAGTGAGCTAGGGCAAGGGCGGTGCAGAAAGTGCTGGGAAGCGAGGCTCGGGCCTCTCCGGGTGACCTCGCTCCGCTCCACGCCGTTCTCTTCTGGGGAGGGCACAGGAGCAGAAGGTCCTCGGGGCGGCAAGGGTCGGGGGACTACGGACTTCGCCTCTCCTTACGCTTTGATCCCCCATACCTCCCTTTTGGGCTCGAGGAGGAGGCGCCGTGTCATATGTAAACCGAGAGTGCCCATCATGACCCGTGAGTCTTCAGAAGGGCATGATCCGGGTCCTAGTAACGCTCATCATGCCGGGCTAGCCGCCCCTATTTTGACCATGGTCGGGCCCCACCTCGGGTGCCGGCCCCAACCTACAAGCCCGATTATCCTGGGGCTCCCGAAAGGCCTCAAAGGTCCCACCCCAGATGGCCTGCCTCTGCGCCAGGTCTTCTCTGGCCCGTCCCGCCCTCCTCCCACTCCCTCACCTCCGCAGGGTGCCCTCAAGCCTGCTGCCTCCCATACCCAAGCGGCCCGTTCCACTTTATGACCCCCACTCCCATCTCGGCCTGAACCCCGGTTGGGTAAGCGACCACGGTTCTGGCTCCCGTCTGCCTTCTCCCACCTCTGCCTCCCCGACCCCGGCTTGAGCTCCACCCCCCACCCCCGCCCCGCGCCCCGCCTCAGTGTCTCCTTCCCTCAGGCTAGAGACTGACCCCCGCCCTATCCCCCCGCAGGCCGCGCCGCCCCGGGTGCGCTGGGCCTTGGCCCCGCCGGCCGCAGACGCCGAAAGTCACGTACGGCGTTCACGGCGCAGCAGGTGCTGGAGCTGGAGCGACGCTTCGTCTTCCAGAAGTACCTGGCGCCTTCGGAGCGCGACGGGCTGGCGGCGAGGCTCGGTTTGGCCAACGCACAGGTTGTCACGTGGTTCCAGAACCGGCGCGCCAAGCTCAAGCGCGACGTGGAGGAGATGCGCGCCGACGTGGCCTCGCTGAGTGCTCTGGCCCCCGAAGTCCAGTGCCGCCTCGAGCTGCCGGATGGCGCCCCAGGCCCCGGCCCCGGCCCCGGCCCGCCTGACGCCGGGCCCCACCTGTCAGAAGAGGAGATTCAGGTGGACGACTGAAGGCAAAGCCGCCGCCAGCCCCGGGCTCTGGGTCCCCGGACTCCTCACCTCCGTGCGCCGCGCCCTGTCTGGGTTCCGGGGTGGAGGGAGGGTGTGGATCCGGCCTCCTCCGGCTCACAGTCCAGACGCTCGCTTTTCCCAATTGTTGAGAATAAAATTGAGATGCGCATGAGTCGCATGAGGCCTCCATCCCAGAGCGGTAAGAGCAAAATCTGCCGATTATGGTGCAGATTGCGCGTTTGGCTGAGCGCTTTAAACGCGGTGTCTCCTTTAACCCTCAAAGCAACTCCTTAAGGTAGGTGATATAATTATGCCCATTTCACAAAGGCAGAACCACTAGGTCAGGATTTGGACCTAGGCATCCTGCCAGACTTCAAAGCCAGTGCTTGTCAGCCCGAACAGTGCTCTGGAAACTTCGAGCTGAGGGGTAGGAGATGGGACTCTGGTAGCTGTGGGCCACCCACCCCTACTGACTGCCTTTGGTTGCAGGACTCCACCAGGCCTTTGATCCCCACCCCACCCCACCCCCAGACCTTGCTCCTAACCTCTAGGTGGCCCCAGAGTGACAATGACCTGCCTGATTCTACCCTTTCCCCACCCTGAGGTTACTTGTCAATGGGGTCCTGACCCTTCTCCTACCTCCCCTGAAAGAACCCTATACTGAGATGGCTAAGTGAAGCCCCGAGGGAGAAGCGGCACAGCCCTACTTCCGGGACCTCTGCCCTGCATTTGGGCAGGAAATGTCCCCACCAGGATGGTGGCCTTGGCAGGAGGATGGGGAGGCCGGCTGAGGCGGAGCTTGGAGTAGCAGCTTGGGGCATTGCGGGTGGAGTCAACAGCCTACCCCCACCGGTGGACATTTCTGAGACTAATATATTCTACCGGTAATTAATCACCTCTGGCAGTGTGATGGGGAGGGAAGAGGCCTACCACTATGCAGGGCCATCCCTGCTGATCTTCAGAAGACCATGCTTAGGCTCTTTCCTGGTTGCCCTCTCTCTGTGTCAGTACTTCCTCCCCCCGTCAGACCTTTCCATGCTTCTGCCCAGATGCCACAGTCTCATTCTCAAGAATGCTTTGAGAGTGACCCTTCCAGGATTCAAGGGGAGTCAGCTAGGGCCTCAGTTGCAGGTGGAGGTCCCAGGAGAGGCTCTTCCACGGAGAGTGAATAAGGCTGGGAGGCAGAAGGGAACCTTGTGCTCTTAGACAATAGCTACCCCTTATTGAGCACAATTCAAGTGATTTGCATGGATTAATCTTCACAGTAATCCCAGGAGATAATGAGATTTTAATTTCATTTTAAGTGTAAAGAGACTGAATCACAGCCCAAGAAGTGTTGGTCATGTCCTGAAGCTTGTAAGTGGTGGGGCTGGCACTAACCTGCTTCTTGTCTGACTCAGGGGCTCATGCTTTCGGCCACTACAGGTTCTGTCCCTGTAACTGTGACTGGGCCTAACTGAAAGAAGAAAACGGTTTACGAAGAAAGCAGAGGAGAAAGGGCCAAAGGTAGGAATTTAGGCGTTGTACTGTAGATAGAGCATGGTCCATGGAGGTTTTAGAGAGGAGAGGCATGACAGCAGTGTTCGAGCAGGCTCATCTGGCTGCAAGTGTAGGGTAGACTGGGAACTGGCGGGGGCCTGAGGTAGGAGTGTTATCTCTGGTCACTGCAGAAGGTAAGAGCCGAGGGAATTCAGGGCCAGACTTGGGGGGTGGGGGAGGCTGTAACGAAAGGAATCTGTGTGATTATCCCAGCGACCAAAGATTGCTTCCATCAGTGACAACCTCACAAACCTGGGCAACTGGAAGAAAAATGGCATCATGGGAAGAAATAATGACTACTGTTGTAGAGCTAAGAATTTGTCAGCCATTGTGTACAAAAAGTATTCTTTGCACCTGTGTTGCCCTTTCAATACACATAGACAACACACACACACACCCTGATTCTGGCTCAGGGCCCCTCCTTATTCCTTTCATCCCCTTCCTAAGGCTGCCTCTCTGGAACCTTTAGAGTGACTGACTCATTCTAGGACTTTCCCACCTTCCCACCTTCAGCACAAAAAGTCTCACACTCCAGGAAATCCCAGTCCCAGGTTGGTCACCGTGCTTTCCAACCCTAGGGACTCAGAACTCTGGCTGCTGGGTTGGAACCCAACCAGTTAGCAGTGTGAGTGTGGGGCAAAATGGGGACAAGGTGTCAGGAGTCCTGTGGCTCTCAGAGATAGTCCAGGACTCAGAGAAGTCCAGGATAAGTCAAGGGATACTGGGGAGGGGACATTTCTTTGAGAGGCTTGAAAAGCAAGGAGCCGGCTCAGCTTCAAAGCAAAGATACCACACAGTGGTGGCGGGTGCCCATTCTTTGAGGAACCCTAGAGAAGTACCTCCCTGCTGCCTAGAACAAGAAGACCACATGAACAGGACTCTTATGGAATCATCATCATATAATCACCCCTCAAACAAACACAATCACCTCTCCCCAACTAGGCATGAGCAAAGAACTTCCAGAGCAAATAATTCTTGTTAAGAAGGTACGATTTAGTCAAGTTAATTGGCTCTGAGCCATAATCTCCCTCCACTTGAGGCCTCCCAAATTCCTGTCCGGTGCTTCTACCTCCCATAATCAAACCTTGGATGAACAAAACTCAAGCCTCTCCCACCAAAATGGCCTCTAGATAGTGTATCCTCTGCCAGGTCCTAGAACAAGTGGATGGGCATTAGGATCACCCGGAGGGCTTGAATGAAATGCAAATTGCAGGGCCCCACTGTTGTACTTTCTGATTTAGAAGGTCTAGGGTGGGGCCTGAGAATGTGCATTTGCAGGAAATTCCTAGGTTGCTGCTGGTCTAGGGACTACATTTGGAGAACCACAGCCCCAGAGCTCTGTATTTTGTGACATAAGCAACAATTCACTCATAGTCACTTCTTTCCACTGTGGGGGAATCATGAATATGTAGGACCGTTGCAGATAAAAACCAGTTTATTTAGCACACTTCATGTACCAGGCACTTGGTATTTTCTCACACTCTGACTTTCAGTCCTCACAACAGCCCTGTGAGGTAGGGACTGCTCCCATTTTACAAATGAGGGACCTGAGGCACAGATGTTGAGAGACCTGCCCAAGGTGACCCAACTCATGATGGCAGACTTCATTCTGCTATACGGTATTTAAGGAGCCTACTCCGTAAACAAAAAGAATTTGGGAAAACCCTATATAAAGGAGGTTTTTCAACATCTCCTATACAGGTGTGAATGGTGTTGAGCAAGACCATAGGGCGGCAAGAATCATTTGTCCTGATGAATGGGCAAGGCATTCTGAGAGACCGAGAGTCCCCTGCAGATCCACATTTCAGTGAGCTGAGAGTCCCAGGCAGGGCTAGGGAGGAAGCAGCCAGGCGCAGCTGCCAGGATCTTAGAGGAGAAACCACAAGATCATGATTCCTGCGCGGCAAGTAGGGAATGACAGCCTTCTTTGGGGGCAGTGACCCTTGGTGGAAATACTGAGTAAACTGACATGGGGAAATGCTCATTACAACACCCAGTGCTGGAGCGGGGAAGGAGCACGGCCGTGGGAGCAGCACCCTAGGCGCCTGCTGAGGTCCCATCAGCAGGAGAGCCAGCAGGGGGGGAATGTGGAGATGCGCGAACCCTGCCACCTCCAGGCAGATGCTGGTAAGGGACTTCCCAAATGTCAACCCCCGTGACTCTTCTAGCAGTTGGAGGAGGTGAGACCACCGGGCAAAGGAGAAGTCAGAATGTGCACCAAATGACAGGGAACAAGGCAGGAGGGGTTGGGGCTAGAAGAAACAAGGTGAGAGCTGGGCTCAGGAAGATGTGAGCATCTATTAAGATGAAGGGTGGGACTCAGGCGTCATTCATCACCTGAACCCGTTCCTGAGCATAGAGTTCTGCTGGTGAATGAGTCCCCCAGAGCCAAAAAAGAGAGCAAGCCCTATATGCTCCCTTCTGGGTCTGTTTTAGTCTGAAAACCTGAACTTCTGTACAGTTCCCTCTGTAGCCTTGGTGGATTTTATTTTTCTTTACTGCCCCCAGAGGAAGCCATCTGCTTCAGAATCAAAGTGGACATGGGGCTCCTTTCTGTCATCAGGTCTCTGGGGCAAGAGGAATGGCCACCAGGGGTTTCTTTAATTATGGCTTTAGACTACAAAGTCTCAAGATATGCAAGGAAATGGGGGATGCACACATGGTCTTGTCCTGTGAGAGAAAGGTCCGCCATCATCTGGCCTGAGGGAGATGCTGGGGCCGAAGTCCCAGGATACCAGGGCCAGTTGAGGCGCCCAGGAGATGGAGAGGGTGGGGTCTTCTGCTCCGTGTCTGGGGGCGGGGTGAGTTGGAGTGGCTCAGGTGACAAGGGGGATGATGCAGGGGTGGAGACAGAAGGCCAGCAGCTCTCGGAGCAGTGCTTGGAGGGCGCCTGACAGACAGGAGGCTTGAGGGGCCCGGCCCAGATTGGGAAAATGGCTGCGGGAACCCAGTTGACAGATGTGGCTCCCTGATTCCTCCTCTCTGATCTTGCTGAGAAGGGAGAGAGAGGGGCACCTGTTACTCCTTTTTAGCAGCACAGCCCAAGCCCCCATCCCACCCATTCCTGCTCCCACTGCCCGCCCGAGGCCGAAGGGAGCAGCGCTTGCTGTGGAAATCCCCGCCGGTTCTCCTGCTGGCCCCTCCCAGCACGCCAGTGGGCCTGGTTCCCTTACCAGAGCGAGGTGCAGAAGGCAAGAGTGGAGCTCCCGGGCTGCATCAGGCTGGGAGCCGCCTCTCAGAGTCTCCTGGAACACAGCAGCTGCCTCCTCAAAACGCTTTCGTCCCAGAGGGATTAGAAAGAGGGAAGTTTAGGTATCAAAGGGGTGAAGGAAATTAAAGCTGCCCCCTTCCTCAAACTGGCCTCAGCTCCTAGTACCACTGACACCGCGACACTGTGGTACTAGGAGCTTTACCAGAAAATGCCAGTATAGACCCAATCCCTGCCTCATGCAACTCAAATTCCGCCTACGCTTCCAATCCCGGACCCCTTACCTGCAGTCCCATCAGGGCCTTGCCCAGGCGGAAAAGGCCCCGGGGCCAGCCAGGTCGCAGGGTAAGGGCCACCTGGGCATCGGCCAGGGCCCGCATGGGCTGACCCAGCCGCTCGTGGCAGAAAGAGCGGTTTCCAAATAACCTGATAAAGACAAAGTAGCCAAAAGTCTGGATCCTCAATGCTTTGCCTTGCCCTGACCTCCCAGCACAGTGGCCAAGCCCCCACTCACCGATGATCCCGGGGGTTGAGCTTCAAGGCCTGGGTGAAGAGAACCACAGCCTTGTGGTAGAAACCATTTTGGGCAAAGCTGGTACCCAACGCTGAGGAGGAAAGAAGGTGGGAGGGTTCAGATGGGGCTATCCCAGGGAGGGTAGGGTGAGGAAGGAGAGAGAGAAAGAGAGAATCTCACTTGCCAGCTCCTGGCTCTGGTGTAAGGCAGCTTCCAGCAGTCCCAGAGATGCCTAGGGATAGGGAGCAAAGTCAAGCAGGACTCAGGCCTCAGCTTCCCCAAATCCTTCTCCTTTATTCAAACAATGAATATTGCAGTCAGCATCACCCAACTTATGTAATTCTTATGACAGTTCTGCAAGAGGGTATCAGCCCTACCTTCCTGCAGAAGGAACTACCCAGGGTCAGGGTGTCAGTAACGGAGCTCTTAATCCTAGAGCCACAGAACTCCTTCTACTGGTCACCTCACCTCTGCCTTAGGACTCTGCCTGGGGCTCTCTTCTATTGGAGAGCTCGCTTCCTCCTGGCGCATCTTCTCTTGGGGGCTCTGGCTTTTGCCTCGAGGCTCCTGGCTCAGTCCCTTCTCTCTGCGGGCATTGGGAGGCCAATCCCCAACCTTGCGCAAAGCCAGAGACACGAAAGTGCTAGATAGATCCAGTGAGTCCTGTGAGCAGAAAGGAAAGTTAGGAGAGGGTGGGGATGAAGTATGTCCTGGAGTAGGGGGAAGGGAAGGCGGGGGTGGGGGTGGGGTGGGCCGAGACCAAGAAGAGAAGGAAGGGGACTCTCACCTCTTCCTCACCACACTGTCCCTGAGGAGAGTTCCCGGGGCTGGATGGGGGGCTCCCATCCCCATTTGGGGTGGCCTTGACCTGGAGGGAAGGCAGATGGGGCTCACCTTGAGCTGCCTGCCTTCTCAGCTCCCACCCTCCTGGCACCTAGTGTTCTTCAGACCTGCCTGCGGACACTCACCTTGGGCTCCCCACCCTCCTGCTCCAAGCGCTCCTGTCGCTTGCGATCCTTTTGACGCTGCAAGTAATAGAGACGATGATGCTGATGATGTGTTTTGAACACTATATGCAAACACGCAGACACACACACACACACACACACACACAACTTGTATCTTGAAGCCAATTCTTTACGTGAACAGTAGAGACTATAGGTTGTGTCCTGGGTTAAGAGCTTTGCATACACTATCTCATTTAATCTCTGCAGGTCCATGAGGTAGGTTTTGTTGTTATCCTTGTGTTACAGCTGAAAAAGCAGACAGGAGAGTCACCAGGCAGAGGTCTCCCAGTAAGAAAGAGGCAGACTCCAACCCAGGCGGTATAGTGTGACTCCAGAACCACCACGCCGTATGGCTTCCACGAGACCCTCACCTCCAGGCTTCTGAGCCCCTGGGCCCTCTCGCAAGAGGATCCACTATGGGCCACCTTGAGTTCTCTCCTGTCCTCACAGCGTGTCCCTCTTTCCCTCTCCCAAATCCCTCTGGGTTCCCACTCCTCCTGCCCTCTAGCTACCTTCTTCTTGAGTCGTTTCTTCTCTGCTTTCTGTTTCATGCGCTCCTCTTCAGCCACCAGCTCCTCAGCCAGCTGGTTGGCTTCCTGGAGAAGGAAAGGCAGGTGACAGGAAAAGAGAGACAGCGACCAAGAAAGCCAAAGGGAGGCCAGCAGGATGGAAGGACACTGAAAGGTCCTAATTAGGGGACAGATGAGGGAATCTGGCATCCGGAAGAGCACTGGGAGAGGTGAAGCCCCTTGCTGACAGTCTCACCTCTTCGGTCAACAGGAGCTTCTGGGGCATGGCCACCTGAAGTAGGCTGTCTGAACCACCAGGGGCAGAGGCAGAGGCAGAGGCAGGGGCAGAGGCAGGGGGGCTAGGAGGGCAGGGCTCTGACCCTTGGGGAGGATATAGGAAGGACTTTCGGAGACCACAGTAGGTACCCAGTCCCTCGACCCCCTTGGCCATGTCACTCTGTCCAGGCGTTTTCCCCTCATCACAGAAATGTTCCAGGAGGTAATCTGTCAAGAGGGATAGGGAGAAGGGAAAGAAAAAGGTACATGAGAGAGAGGAGCATCTGAGGGCCAGCCCCCCCAGGGTACCAGCCTCGATCCCTGGACCCGGCCCCTGCACGCCCCACCATGGTGCCACAGCTGTAGCCGCCCGCTGCTCCCGTCCATGTGGATCCGGTGCAGGCCCCGGGGATCACTCTCCACAAGCCGTCGGAGAAAATCCACTATGTCCTGGGAGAGGGAGGGGAGGGGAGGCTGGTGTTGGGGGCAGCTCTAGGAGAGAACGAGGGGCTTGGCTGGGTTGACCCCTCCACCATGGCGACCGCAAACC